GCGGGGTTGTACTGGGGATACGTTGTGCAGGGCCCAGGCGACCAGCGCGCGCTGCGGTGTGGCTGAGCTGCGACATCCCGTACATGCCACGGCCGTTGCTGTCGCCGCGCAACAATCCCTGCAGACCGTTCACAGCAGCGGGGGCTATGCCACCGGACCGGGTGGGGACAACACGGCTGCGAGGTGGTGGGGATCCAGGCCTTGCCGTCGGCGGTGTAGCTGGCAGCGAGTCCATGCCGCGCGCCGTGATGAAACTGCCGGCGGGGGAGGGCGCAGGGGACTGGAAGGCAGGGTTTTGATACACCGAGAGGGCGCCCATCACTGGGCGGGGCGTTGCAGGTAGAGCACCGCCACTGGGCGCGACCGCTGCGGCAGGGGCAGCGGCGGCAGCGGCGGCGCCCCTGACGTGCGCAGGGGCCGGTGCAGCCGGTGATTGGGCGGCGGACGCGGCGGCGTGGCCGCGGCCACCCCAGAGCAGCAGCGATCGCACACCGTAAGGTGACGGGTTCTCATCGGCAGCGGGCGCGCGCTCACCGCCCCCCTCTAACGGCTGCCCATCAGTTCCTCCCGCTGCGAGCGGCTGCGGCCCGTCAGCCCCCCCTAGCTGTTGAGCCGGTGGAAGACCGAAGCTAAAGGAGTCCGCATCATCCGCCCCCCCTTGTTGCCCCTCCCCATCTAACCCGGTCTGAGGTTGTGGGGGGAGCTCCTCATCGGCGCCGTCGACGTGGTCGAGCCCTTGGTCTCCTCCCTCGCCCAGGGCGAGATCCTCCAGGCGGCGCACGCCCATGGTGAGGTTGCGCGCCACGTTGAAGCCAGCGCGACGAACAGCCCTTGCATCGGCCGGAGTCGGGTCCGGAGCGACGGCGCCGTCGTGGCCGAGCAGCGCCTCATTATCTTCTTCAATTTCTGGAAAAGCACCGGCTTGGGATGCCATGATGGTGAAATCGCGGCGAGGTAGTTCGCACGATGTCACGATCGATGCTGCCTTGGCTGGAAGGCTTACCACTCGACAACCCGATGCGAAGGTTGAGGAGTGGCCGGTGCTGGCATGAGCACCAGGGATTAGTCGGCTGCCTGAGAATGAGGACTTATGCCGACGCGGAATGTGGCCAGGTGACACTCCGCACCAGGTTGTGGTAGCCAAAGGCGCCGCCCGGTAACCCCTATAAACGCTGGCGATTCCATAAGCGGTACGACGCGCCGCGATGTCGCAGAGGCCCGGCTAGGCAGGCGGCTGCGACCATGCTTTCCCGATTGCCGGCGCTGAAACGGCCACTAGATAGCAGGCTGGTGTACTAACTAGGTGCTACACGATAGGGCTGGCCAAGCCGGCTATTGCGGTGCAGCGGTGATGGCGCTATAATAACAATACACAAATGCTTAGTACATACCTAATAGGCTTTGTGGAACTCTGCGGCGATTACATGGTTGTAATCCCACCATGCGGTAAAGCATCATGGAGGCCACGAAAAGCGCCGACCAGGCGCAATCCGAAGGCAAAGACTGCGGCACAAGATCTGTCGCTCCAGGGAACCAACAACGAACAGATACACGAACGCGGCAACTCAACCACTGGTATCACTCAACCGCTGGTATAAAAAGAAACATAAAGATAACTGCAGGTGTCTATGAGTTGGACATGCTTGGGCGATGCAAGCAACCAACCGACCTGCTCTGAAACCACGGACCATGATTTCGCATACGCATGGTTAGGACACGACAGCTGTCAAGCCCCAGGACTGAAATGAGCAAAACAATGACATGGGGTATGACACTCCCCCCCACGCCCGAGGGAAGAAGTCACAAGGGCGGAACACAACACAGGAGTACCCCAGATCACGCTGATGACCGGCAAGGTCAAACAGGCAACGGCATGAGAGTACGGTCAACGGAACAATAACGTAGGTACGAGCAAGCAATACGCTATCCGCTTGTACGGCAGAAACTGAGCACGCACCGACCCGTGGGCCAGCAGACAAGCACTAGCCATGGCAACACCAATCCGGCAAGGGAAAGGCACGCGGCTACAAACCAATAACACAGACCAGCTGATGCACAACTAAGCAGACATGGCAAGATGCTCTGTCCTAAGTGCAGATCCCCTCATCACCACATCCTAGACTGTAACTGCAAACTGACTTCTCCTCGCGCCAGTCAGGAGAAGCAAGCACGCTGACCAACGTCAATCCCCATGTCATTGTTTTGCTCATTTCAGTCCTGGGGCTTGACAAGCAAGGGGGTTCAGCGTCCGTGTAACAAGGTGTGTTACGTCAACTGGTGCCGTGGAGTCACAGAAGCGCATTCCGTGCCATTCCAGTGATAGTATTACGTTCCTGTACTCAATAGGAGGGGCCCCGCCCTTTTCCAGCTTTGAGGAAGCTGACCCCCCTTGTCCTGCTGGAAGACACTGCCTCCTAGGAAACGTACTTTAGTACGATTGCGGAGCGAAGCTAAGCCGGACTGCCGGAGCGAATGGAAATCAATTGATGGAGTGCCATAACTACCATCAAGCTACCCATAGGTCGGGTGAGATGGCGAAGTCTGCTGGGCATGCTTAGCATAGTTTAGTGTGGTTGCGGAAGCAGGGCAGCGATATGTACAAAATGAGTCGAAGAGAAGGCACCAGCCCGTCCAAGTAAGGAAGGCGAGGCCTTCTAAGAGAAATACGCACACGTCTTACAACCTCGGGCCGGGCCAGGATGGGACCGCGGGCCGGCCACACATGCGTATATGACTGCCTGCTTGCATGAGTGCCGCATGGACGGGGACGCTGGGCGCAAGTGTGCCCTCGTGAAAATGCCTGGGTGCATGCCTGCGAAGCGCCCTGGCTGGGCGAGTTGAATTGCACCCCGCTCCGGCTGTATCACACACAGCCCCGCCTGGGGGAGATGTACTGCACCCCTCCCCGGCCCCGGCTGGGGCGCATGGGTGTGAGGATGCCTGCATGTATGGGAGCCAGCAGTGAGGCGAAGGGGTGATGCCTGCATGCCGGGTGGCACAGGCTTCAGAGGGTGCGAATGGTGCCATGTGCTGTTTTGGCACCCCAGTTGTATTCCATAATGGCGGTGATTCCTTTATCATTGAGAGCAGGCTGTTGGCTTCCTAAGAAACCGTGTGCAAGAGGCGGTGGTAACTCCCCGGGCGGAAGTTCGCAGGGTTGCTTTGATACGTACCATAATTCTGTTGTGCTCACACCCTACCCTTTCTATCCAACCCTGCAGGCATATGGCCTTACAGCCGGCATCACCACCGCCATGGCACTGTGGGCGCTGACCATTAGGGAAAACCTAGTGGCGGGCTGAGTGGGAGTTTTCATGCCCACCACAGCACTCATTGTGTTTGTGTCGGGACAGGGCGCTGTGTTGTTCAGGTGAGGGGTTGTAGGAGGGGAACGGGGCTTTGTTTTGCCCCAGTCGGGATATTATTTAGGAGGCGGAAGTTACACTGGAGGGCACCAGGGCAGGAGCTGAGACCATCGTCAGACGTACATTCTAACACGGCGTCGACCGCCCTACCCCAGGGGGCACGCCGTGCACAAGGCAGGGAACCGTGCCCAGCAGATACAGGGACAGGCAACTAGGTCCCAGAGAAACAACACGGAGAGGCTGCCTAACCATCTCCCCAAAATCCGACATGCAGGCACTGCCAACCCAGCACCTGGAACAGGGGCCCGGCAACCAGGGTCCCAGAGAAATGCGACACACAGATGCTGCCAAAGCAGTACCAGAAAGATCGCGGCCCGCAACCACAGAAACCGAAACGAAACTGTCACGGAGAAGACTGCAGCAAGCCACCAAGGCCCCATCCGTGGGGATGCGCTCCTTGTACGGCAGCGCTCCTGTGCATTTGAGCCCAGGGCAGCCTTGGGTGAGGCGCGCTATACATCGCCAGATAGCGCATGTGAAGTTGTATATTGTAACAGTTTTCTGGGAGGTGTGGCGCATCAGTGAAGTTTTCCGCGCTTGGGTGCCAAAAGCGAAAAAGCCTGGATGTCGCCAAAAGCTGCGTTGGCCCTCTCCATAAAATATAAAACGTTGTTTGTGCAAAAGTTGTTATAGCCGCTCGGACTATCTTGCTGCGCACAGCAAGCGGGCCACCCTCCTTTGTTCAGGGCCATTCGTGAGATGGCCGCGGTGCCGGGCATTTACAACCAACCGCCCCCGCAACCGCCGCATGGGGCTCAGGGGCTAATTTGTATACCGTAGCTTCTTTTAATCGCCGCGCACCCCTCCTTCTTGGGATATTTTTTAACATCGCGCAGGGATTTGGGGAATCATTTTCAGGTTCGCGCACGGCTCCCCCTGAATAAAACTAGTTTCGCGCAGGCAATGTCGATCCTACCCTTCGTTGGGCATACTAGCATGCAGCCATGGGTTGGGCTAGCTGAGCTGGAATGGGGTTGGGGTATTGGGTTGGGGTGAAAGGTTCCCAGGGGTTTCAATGATTTCGCGCAGGCCCATATAGGATTATTTTCGAAATTCGCGCACCCCTCTGAGAAATTATTTTATTTTGCGCGAAAATGCACGTGTTCCCAGATAATTATTTATTTTTGCGCGATGATATTGCACAACTACGGTAAGGTACCGCATTGTGGGGCACAAATTGAGCAAGGTTCTGGGAATACAGCCCGCTGCGTTAACATCTTGGCGTTGATAAAGGTACAGGTTTATTGCCCCCACCCATTCTATTTCCTCCCTGCTTCCCCTTTCCCCCCTCGCAGCATCTTTGTCGCCTACGACGTGCTGCGGGGAGCACAAGTTCGCTGTGTCGCCAGACGACTTCGTGTTGGCGCCGACACGTAAATCGTACGCCCTTCGACCTGCCTCGTCGCCTGTTTTTCATTCAGCCGGCATTTTCTGCAGCCCACCTGACCTATTGTTGCGCATCGAATTTAGGGCAGCCGTAACCTCATCCAGAGTAGGAGGTACATTCAGAGCCGCCGCAGCTCGCACCCTCTCCTTCCAGCCTTCAGCCATACGAAAGTCACCACTACCGTTACAATGGACAACACCATGCGTCATGCTCAAGAACATGCAAGATCCTGGGTTTGGGGGCCTTTGTGTGGTCCACGGTAAAAGCTAGCCATTAGTTACACAAATTCGTTGCAGATGGTCTATCCAGTGCGCTTTTCATTTGCCGCACGCACGGTCGCCGAAGCCGTGAATGTGGGCTCTATGGACGTGCTCCTGAACAGTAGACACCACATTCACAATACCACTGCAAATGCGCTATTTCTGTACTACTCGATGCCTAGAAGGCAGCATTATCCCTTCGCCTGAACAGCAGCAACCCACGGTTCCTTCACTGCTTGCTTACAGCAATCAGCCAGCAGCGCCAGAAAACGCCTGCACCCAGATACTAGCGGAAACTATGGCAGTGACCATCCAAGAGCTCGTCACAATGGCCCTTACCATTTTAAAGTGGGCCATCAGGCAGGCCGGTTAACAGTAGCGGTGTACGCAGGACCGCGCTGCCTGATGGTATAAAAGTGCAGCCGCATGGTGCCGCCAGCGAATACAACCGCCAGGAAACCCTGCAAGGGAATTGAAAGGTGGGACCTCAACACCGAAAGGTGGGACAGAACCATGCCTAATAAATGTGTCAGCGAAAAGACGCCAGCGGATGGACTGCGAATGGGAGTACGCGCACTGGCCGTAGAACAACCGCCAAGGACCCTTTCGACCCCATGATTCAGCCCTACAACCTATCGGCGCATCACCCGCTCCCAAGTATCAAAATTGGATCGCCCCTTTAGGGGCGTAGTCCTAGCGTTCGGGCAAAATGGTACGGACCGAGGCGTGTCCTGTCCTCTTGTACCGTGCCCCTGTACCATACCCGATTTTGGTGTACGGTGCTTCTATTATACCATGTTGAAAAGCGTTTTCCTTAGAATACGTATGGTGTCTTGGCTTGGTATCTTGTCAGCGTTCATTTTGATCCGAAGCGTTGGACATTCGCTTTAAGCATAATGCTCTAGAGAATTGGGTGTTGTTTAGCGTATTATGGTTTGAAGTGCGTCTCAGGGGAACAAGGGGCCTTCGTCGTACAGGCGTTGTCCAAGTAAGAAATATTCCACTGTCCCCAGCTGTCGCAATTGCTATAGCACGCATCGTTGTTTATAAAGTCTACACAGGTGGACATGTCAGGTTGCTACTTTAGTTGTGATACTACAGCTAGCTTTTGTTGTAGAACTAACAGTAACTTACTGGCCAAACACCAATGCACTAGAAGCTACGCTACGTTAGGGTATTTGATTCAGACGTAGAACTCTTTAACGGGAGCCACATGACTGGCCGCCTGTTTTACCGCCTATTTCACACCGAGGTGTGATCGGGGTAAATTCGTAAGTTCGACGTAAATTGCTCGTGAAGGTAGTGATGTCAGCACAAGCAGCTGCCGTTGCGGCTTGGGGGCCATATTCGGATATTCAAAATGGAGGGAAGTAGAAGGTGATATATGTGTTCGCCACGGTGTTCACATTGGTGTACGAAAACACTTTTTATTTCTTGCCACGCGCCATCGATCCCAGACTTTCCAAAGATCGGGACGAGATAGGAAAGGCTGAGAGACCGAAAACAAAAAGCCACACTCATCGCGAACCCATGCTCCAAGCGCCTTTTGCGTCACAGGGCCCCAAACTCAATGTGAATGCGCGCGTGGTTTATATCAAATCCTGCGCCACAGCTGCAATTAAGCTTTTCTGTACAGGGGGGGGGTACATTTTTTTTTGGTAAACCCCATGATGAATATTTGGTGGCGACCCCTCCCGGACCCACCCACCCACCCTACAGAACTTCGAACGCTATTTTCTCATATAGCCGTACACCAAAAAAGATGCAAAAAGACCAATGGATTTCTTTCAGTGTCCTCTTTCTGTGTATACAACTTGTTGAGCTTTTGCACCTACTAAGTCATGCCATGGTCGCGCCATACCATGGTCACGCCATCCAACCCTATAGACAGCAACGGGTGCACCGTTGTACACTAGCCTCATACACACGCACTACTGCGTCAAGACCAGCAATTACCAGCAAGGATTAGCAGGGCTCAGACAACATGCAGCGGCTGGCACAGGTGACGCAGCTGCTGCCGAGAGACCTGCCCCGTTCTACTCCCCTCAACCCCACCCCAGAGATGATAGGATCGCATTACGCAATGCCTTGTTACAACCCCCTTCACCCTGCCATACACTAGTCTCCGTTCATGGTCATCTGGTAGGTCTGCACGCCACCATGCACCTAGGTCTCCCACACCTGTAGCCCCGGTGAGCCTGCATGCAATGGCTCGCTTGGGTGACAGGGTTGTTTGGGGAGCCTTGCGAGGCCCCGCCCTGTCATTGTTTTTAGCTGTCATTTCACTGGCACCGCACGTTTTGCACCCTCTGCATATCTAGATCATAATACCCTTACTGCGCTTGCGCTTAATTAAGCATGCTCGTCCCATGCCGTACTTCGCATCGCCGTCTTTCGCATAAATACTAACTCTCGGCATAGTCCCGTCTCTTTAATCATGATAAGCCAGCCATCTTCATTGTCATACAGCCTGCGTCGATATACAGCGCAGCTCGCAGCACCAGCACAGCACAGGGACGCATGCCTGCTTTCTGTTCGCTCGTCGCGCCGCCTTCTTGTGTCTCTGGACGCTTTTCGCTCACTATTAACGAAATTTGGTACGTCTTCGTTGCACAATTTCCCCTTGCTACGCAGGTTAGTCAGGGTTCGGACTAGCGGGTGGGCTGGGCTTTGTTAGACCCATGGGTCATTTGCGAGGGTCGGGCAGGGTGGGATGCTTTGGTGCACACAGCCGCATGACAGCCCCAGCTAAGCAGCGGAGCTTACATACGTTATGCTGCTGACAGCATTGCAGCAGAGAGATCAGGTGTAGCGCAGTGGAGCCAGTTATCACAGTAGCAGCCGCCTTCTATTCGCCAATGCAGAGTGATCTCAGATCACCCCAGCCGCCACGGAGCTTACAATACGGTTTGTTACTGATTGATGCTACTAACTATACAACAACTACAATTATATGCTAACCCAAATATCCAGCCTAATTCGGATTCTGGTTCCAAATTACCCCAGAGATGCAGCACATAGGGGAGCCGTGTCACATGGTTAACTTCCCTGCCCCCTTCTGCTTGACTGGGCAGACCACCTGCGGGTGATTCCCCCCTAAGTGGAGGCACCCGGACCCGCACCCTGCCTACCCACCACCGACCCATACGTGTTTTGGTACCTCTCTGACCACCCATGCGTGGTAATGTCATCATGCCATGCCCAAACCATATCAGGAAGAGGCAAAAATGCGTTTATAGACTGCTTACAGTATGTTTATCGTATAAATATACTTTATAGTGAGTTTGGCAACGCCAGGAAAAAGTTTAGGAAGCCCTCGGAAAAAAACCCACTGGACCCCCAGACCCCACCCACCCACCTAGCCGTACAGTCACCTTTGGGCGCAGATAACTTTTTCCGTACAAACTCCAATTAAAATTCTGAAAGCAGATATGGAATGCTCTCAATGAGCTCTTTAACTTTGAATCATGGGGTCTGTCCTCGCGTTTCCTACCCCCCCCCCTGTTCTGTATGTTTGGCATATGTAAACGACCCCTTATACTGCGCGGATATGCTATCCTTGAATGAAGGGTCAGTTGATGAACGGGGAAGCAGGGGAAAACAGGCAACCCCAAAAGGCAACCCAAGGATAGCACTGAAGCATTAATAAACAACAATGTCATGTAACATAAACCATCCCGTTCCTGCGCGCCCAATGCATCCCTAAATTCCAAGCAAACAGAGACCACGCTCCACCTCACAGCCTCGCAATGTATTTTTGGGGGGGGGGCGAGCCCTGTGCCTGCGAAGCTGACGGGTTGGTACACAACTAAGCGAAGCCGCTGCAAGATGTGAAGCCCGCTTTAAGCCATGGGCATGTACCCATGTCTCTCCTTAGTCTCTCCTTAGAACCCTGTTCCCATCCCCTTACCCACCTGCGCATCCGACAAGAAGAGCGCGTTGGCCCGCTTCTCGGGCAACAACGAGTCGAACTCGCCCTCGCGCGTGTCCGACCCCGCGCCGCTCACCACATAGTACACCTGGTCCTCGGGGTACTGGGGTGCCATGGGGGCGGATGAGGGAGTGCTCACAGAGACCACGTGCATTCAAACCACTCGTGCGGCGTCCGTCGCTACTGCTGCCCCTCTCAAACGGCTCCCCGACTTACCTTAAGCAACTGCTGGTCGTGTTCGTGTCCGTTTATGTATGCGGCTACCCGGTAGCTGCGGAGCCAGGGACGCATGAACTGCATGTCGTCACAGTTGTTTTTATCATCCTGTGATAGGTAGGCAAGCAGGAAGGAAGGACAAGGGGACGGACGAGGCACAGACATAGCGCAGAGCTGAAAGACCACGGCGTGCGTGAGGGCAACGGCGTGTGCATGAATCTGCACATGTCTGGGCGAACAAATTGGTAGACAACAGCTATGCCTGTCCCTTTAAGCGGCATGACCCGTGGTTCTCGTTCCGCCCACATTTCGGCCACGAATGCCTTCACGAATACCGAGTCCGCCCCTCCATACCTTGCCAAGCACCCCAACCGCCGATAGACTCACCTCCATGCAGTGTTTGCCGTATGACCTGACGGGGTGGTGTCCCACCACCAGCCGCCAGCTTGAGCCGCTGGCCACCGAGGCGTTGAGCTGCGTTTGCAGCTGCGCCTGGATGGCCTGCGAGTCCTGACTGCTTACGCCGCGCAGGAAGGAAGACCAGGAGCGATTCTGATAGCTCTGGATGAAGGGATTGGTGTCCTGAGGTGAAAAGGGCAGAAGATTCCGTAATTGCCAGAAAATTATTCAGCTTTTGGGGGAACGAGATAAACGGATCCCGAACACTGCTAGAAGCATCGAAGAGGGGTGAAATAGCTCTTTCAATTTATTTCCGTCGATTTCGAGGGTGTCTTGGGGTGTGGGGTGGTCCCGGGGCCGGTCAACGTTTTCCAACTGCGAATACCGCATGGGTGCCGCTGGTCCTAGGTCCGAAGCGACCTAGGCGTACGGCACCCGCCATAAGGATTCCCGCTTTCTGTGCTTTAGAAAGCTTTAATAGCTGCCCAATAATTATTGGAAGTGATCGGTGTCCTTTCGGGACAAACCACTATTGTTGCGCGCTCGCGACCGCGTCGTCAGCCCTCCCATCCAGCGAAGCTCAATGGCTTCCCCATTCAATGTCCGAAAGGAGAATGTCTATGCCCTGGACGAGCTTTATAACCAACAGGCAAGACCAATGCACTTTATTAGTTTTGCGGACTGCCAGGACATGCATGCAGAACTTGTCCGCTTTGAAGGTGTGACAGCAGTAGGCCGTGTTTAAGACGAAAGCCGTTACTGAGCATGGGTTGCTGACGGTGCGACCATCTGACTGCTTTCTCCTGACCAAACGACGCGCTGCATCCAGTCACATCTGCCAACAAGACTCTTGCATACGTAACCCTCTCGGACTGGGAACCCTGAACGACGGCCACGCCTTCCCCATGACAACGTTACTTCATCACCACCAGCAGCGGTGGGACGTCCTGCCGCGGCCCCAGAAGAAGAACCGCCACCCGCACTGCCACCTGCAGCACCGGCACCCTGCAGCATGGGAGCCTGCACCCAGCAGCATGGGAGCCCATATCAATGATATAAAGCTTTGGGGTAGGGGTGGAGGCCCTCCTAATGACATAGGGCCAAAATCCGACCATCGAAATTTCGTCACGCCCGTTTAACCCCACCTTCATGCTACCTAACAAGAACAGTTCCCCAAGTTTCAGCGCAATTGGCGATGATCGGTTTCCCAGGTGGTGGCTTGGCGGGGGCTTCAGGGTGGAGGCCCTCCAAATGGCATAGGGCCAAAATCCGACCATCGAATTTCGTCACGTCCGTTTAACCCCACCTTCATGCTACCTAACAAGAACAGTTCCCAAAGCCATCAACCTCCTACAATATACAAACGCGTAGATGAAGTTAGCCAGGGTACCCGCTGAAGTAAACGTATGGAATAATTGGGTTTGGGGTTGGCATATACACAGCATGAACCATTCTTTCAAGGAAAGTGGAGAGACTACCCAGGGGAAATGCAGTTAAACTTGCCGGCATCGGAAATAAGGGAAGGGGCAAGCTGTATGGCAAAGCTGTACTCACAAATACGCCTATGTCAACGAAGGGGTATGCGTCCCCATCAGCAGCAGCCTGCCCCAACTCCACCATATCCCTCTCGCCGGTATCTTCGGTGTCTTCGGAATATACTTCCTCGCTGAATACGAGGTCATCGTTGGACGCTTAAACGGCATCTTCAAACACTTCATCATCGTCATCGTTGTAGTCGGAATCGTAGCCAGAGGACATGATATCTCCATCTTCGCTCGCCATGGACTTATTGCGTTAAGTATTCTTTAGCCCGGTAGTAGGAAGAGCGTCAATGGACGACAGAGCTCATAAACGTTTGGCGACATTAAGGCGCCTGGCACGTGACACGCGGGTGCATTGGGAACATTGCCAAACACTGCTCCAACAGCTCCGGCTGGTGACCCGCCGATGCTGACACTGATGATCTGTAAACTGATCTATAACTGCTCCCTAACTATGCGATGACCCCAAAGGCTATCAGGCGCGTTACAACAGCTCCTAAGGACGTGGCAGGCTCTCTCTCGGCCTTGGCTGCGTCTCCGCCTACGTTGTATTACTAGTAACCGCTACCGCTATAGGCCTTAGACGCGCACGCTATAACGGCGGCACAAGATCTGTCGCTCCAGGGAACCAACAACGAACAGATACACGAACGCGGCAACTCAACCACTGGTATCACTCAACCGCTGGTATAAAAAGAAACATAAAGATAACTGCAGGTGTCTATGAGTTGGACATGCTTGGGCGATGCAAGCAACCAACCGACCTGCTCTGAAACCACGGACCATGATTTCGCATACGCATGGTTAGGACACGACAGCTGTCAAGCCCCAGGACTGAAATGAGCAAAACAATGACATGGGGTATGACACTCCCCCCCACGCCCGAGGGAAGAAGTCACAAGGGCGGAACACAACACAGGAGTACCCCAGATCACGCTGATGACCGGCAAGGTCAAACAGGCAACGGCATGAGAGTACGGTCAACGGAACAATAACGTAGGTACGAGCAAGCAATACGCTATCCGCTTGTACGGCAGAAACTGAGCACGCACCGACCCGTGGGCCAGCAGACAAGCACTAGCCATGGCAACACCAATCCGGCAAGGGAAAGGCACGCGGCTACAAACCAATAACACAGACCAGCTGATGCACAACTAAGCAGACATGGCAAGATGCTCTGTCCTAAGTGCAGATCCCCTCATCACCACATCCTAGACTGTAACTGCAAACTGACTTCTCCTCGCGCCAGTCAGGAGAAGCAAGCACGCTGACCAACGTCAATCCCCATGTCATTGTTTTGCTCATTTCAGTCCTGGGGCTTGACAAGCAAGGGGGTTCAGCGTCCGTGTAACAAGGTGTGTTACGTCAACTGGTGCCGTGGAGTCACAGAAGCGCATTCCGTGCCATTCCAGTGATAGTATTACGTTCCTGTACTCAATAGGAGGGGCCCCGCCCTTTTCCAGCTTTGAGGAAGCTGACCCCCCTTGTCCTGCTGGAAGACACTGCCTCCTAGGAAACGTACTTTAGTACGATTGCGGAGCGAAGCTAAGCCGGACTGCCGGAGCGAATGGAAATCAATTGATGGAGTGCCATAACTACCATCAAGCTACCCATAGGTCGGGTGAGATGGCGAAGTCTGCTGGGCATGCTTAGCATAGTTTAGTGTGGTTGCGGAAGCAGGGCAGCGATATGTACAAAATGAGTCGAAGAGAAGGCACCAGCCCGTCCAAGTAAGGAAGGCGAGGCCTTCTAAGAGAAATACGCACACGTCTTACAACCTCGGGCCGGGCCAGGATGGGACCGCGGGCCGGCCACACATGCGTATATGACTGCCTGCTTGCATGAGTGCCGCATGGACGGGGACGCTGGGCGCAAGTGTGCCCTCGTGAAAATGCCTGGGTGCATGCCTGCGAAGCGCCCTGGCTGGGCGAGTTGAATTGCACCCCGCTCCGGCTGTATCACACACAGCCCCGCCTGGGCGAGATGTACTGCACCCCTCCCCGGCCCCGGCTGGGGCGCATGGGTGTGAGGATGCCTGCATGTATGGGAGCCAGCAGTGAGGCGAAGGGGTGATGCCTGCATGCCGGGTGGCACAGGCTTCAGAGGGTGCGAATGGTGCCATGTGCTGTTTTGGCACCCCAGTTGTATTCCATAATGGCGGTGATTCCTTTATCATTGAGAGCAGGCTGTTGGCTTCCTAAGAAACCGTGTGCAAGAGGCGGTGGTAACTCCCCGGGCGGAAGTTCGCAGGGTTGCTTTGATACGTACCATAATTCTGTTGTGCTCACACCCTACCCTTTCTATCCAACCCTGCAGGCATATGGCCTTACAGCCGGCATCACCACCGCCATGGCACTGTGGGCGCTGACCATTAGGGAAAACCTAGTGGCGGGCTGAGTGGGAGTTTTCATGCCCACCACAGCACTCATTGTGTTTGTGTCGGGACAGGGCGCTGTGTTGTTCAGGTGAGGGGTTGTAGGAGGGGAACGGGGCTTTGTTTTGCCCCAGTCGGGATATTATTTAGGAGGCGGAAGTTACACTGGAGGGCACCAGGGCAGGAGCTGAGACCATCGTCAGACGTACATTCTAACACGGCGTCGACCGCCCTACCCCAGGGGGCACGCCGTGCACAAGGCAGGGAACCGTGCCCAGCAGATACAGGGACAGGCAACTAGGTCCCAGAGAAACAACACGGAGAGGCTGCCTAACCATCTCCCCAAAATCCGACATGCAGGCACTGCCAACCCAGCACCTGGAACAGGGGCCCGGCAACCAGGGTCCCAGAGAAATGCGACACACAGATGCTGCCAAAGCAGTACCAGAAAGATCGCGGCCCGCAACCACAGAAACCGAAACGAAACTGTCACGGAGAAGACTGCAGCAAGCCACCAAGGCCCCATCCGTGGGGATGCGCTCCTTGTACGGCAGCGCTCCTGTGCATTTGAGCCCAGGGCAGCCTTGGGTGAGGCGCGCTATACATCGCCAGATAGCGCATGTGAAGTTGTATATTGTAACAGTTTTCTGGGAGGTGTGGCGCATCAGTGAAGTTTTCCGCGCTTGGGTGCCAAAAGCGAAAAAGCCTGGATGTCGCCAAAAGCTGCGTTGGCCCTCTCCATAAAATATAAAACGTTGTTTGTGCAAAAGTTGTTATAGCCGCTCGGACTATCTTGCTGCGCACAGCAAGCGGGCCACCCTCCTTTGTTCAGGGCCATTCGTGAGATGGCCGCGGTGCCGGGCATTTACAACCAACCGCCCCCGCAACCGCCGCATGGGGCTCAGGGGCTAATTTGTATACCGTAGCTTCTTTTAATCGCCGCGCACCCCTCCTTCTTGGGATATTTTTTAACATCGCGCAGGGATTTGGGGAATCATTTTCAGGTTCGCGCACGGCTCCCCCTGAATAAAACTAGTTTCGCGCAGGCAATGTCGATCCTACCCTTCGTTGGGCATACTAGCATGCAGCCATGGGTTGGGCTAGCTGAGCTGGAATGGGGTTGGGGTATTGGGTTGGGGTGAAAGGTTCCCAGGGGTTTCAATGATTTCGCGCAGGCCCATATAGGATTATTTTCGAAATTCGCGCACCCCTCTGAGAAATTATTTTATTTTGCGCGAAAATGCACGTGTTCCCAGATAATTATTTATTTTTGCGCGATGATATTGCACAACTACGGTAAGGTACCGCATTGTGGGGCACAAATTGAGCAAGGTTCTGGGAATACAGCCCGCTGCGTTAACATCTTGGCGTTGATAAAGGTACAGGTTTATTGCCCCCACCCATTCTATTTCCTCCCTGCTTCCCCTTTCCCCCCTCGCAGCATCTTTGTCGCCTACGACGTGCTGCGGGGAGCACAAGTTCGCTGTGTCGCCAGACGACTTCGTGTTGGCGCCGACACGTAAATCGTACGCCCTTCGACCTGCCTCGTCGCCTGTTTTTCATTCAGCCGGCATTTTCTGCAGCCCACCTGACCTATTGTTGCGCATCGAATTTAGGGCAGCCGTAACCTCATCCAGAGTAGGAGGTACATTCAGAGCCGCCGCAGCTCGCACCCTCTCCTTCCAGCCTTCAGCCATACGAAAGTCACCACTACCGTTACAATGGACAACACCATGCGTCATGCTCAAGAACATGCAAGATCCTGGGTTTGGGGGCCTTTGTGTGGTCCACGGTAAAAGCTAGCCATTAGTTACACAAATTCGTTGCAGATGGTCTATCCAGTGCGCTTTTCATTTGCCGCACGCACGGTCGCCGAAGCCGTGAATGTGGGCTCTATGGACGTGCTCCTGAACAGTAGACACCACATTCACAATACCACTGCAAATGCGCTATTTCTGTACTACTCGATGCCTAGAAGGCAGCATTATCCCTTCGCCTGAACAGCAGCAACCCACGGTTCCTTCACTGCTTGCTTACAGCAATCAGCCAGCAGCGCCAGAAAACGCCTGCACCCAGATACTAGCGGAAACTATGGCAGTGACCATCCAAGAGCTCGTCACAATGGCCCTTACCATTTTAAAGTGGGCCATCAGGCAGGCCGGTTAACAGTAGCGGTGTACGCAGGACCGCGCTGCCTGATGGTATAAAAGTGCAGCCGCATGGTGCCGCCAGCGAATACAACCGCCAGGAAACCCTGCAAGGGAATTGAAAGGTGGGACCTCAACACCGAAAGGTGGGACAGAACCATGCCTAATAAATGTGTCAGCGAAAAGACGCCAGCGGATGGACTGCGAATGGGAGTACGCGCACTGGCCGTAGAACAACCGCCAAGGACCCTTTCGACCCCATGATTCAGCCCTACAACCTATCGGCGCATCACCCGCTCCCAAGTATCAAAATTGGATCGCCCCTTTAGGGGCGTAGTCCTAGCGTTCGGGCAAAATGGTACGGACCGAGGCGTGTCCTGTCCTCTTGTACCGTGCCCCTGTACCATACCCGATTTTGGTGTACGGTGCTTCTATTATACCATGCTGAAAAGCGTTTTCCTTAGAATACGTATGGTGTCTTGGCTTGGTATCTTGTCAGCGTTCATTTTGATCCGAAGCGTTGGACATTCGCTTTAAGCATAATGCTCTAGAGAATTGGGTGTTGTTTAGCGTATTATGGTTTGAAGTGCGTCTCAGGGGAACAAGGGGCCTTCGTCGTACAGGCGTTGTCCAAGTAAGAAATATTCCACTGTCCCCAGCTGTCGCAATTGCTATAGCACGCATCGTTGTTTATAAAGTCTACACAGGTGGACATGTCAGGTTGCTACTTTAGTTGTGATACTAAAGCTAGCTTTTGTTGTAGAACTAACAGTAACTTACTGGCCAAACACCAATGCACTAGAAGCTACGCTACGTTAGGGTATTTGATTCAGACGTAGAACTCTTTAACGGGAGCCACATGACTGGCCGCCTGTTTTACCGCCTATTTCACACCGAGGTGTGATCGGGGTAAATTCGTAAGTTCGACGTAAATTGCTCGTGAAGGTAGTGATGTCAGCACAAGCAGCTGCCGTTGCGGCTTGGGGGCCATATTCGGATATTCAAAATGGAGGGAAGTAGAAGGTGATATATGTGTTCGCCACGGTGTTCACATTGGTGTACGAAAACACTTTTTATTTCTTGCCACGCGCCATCGATCCCAGACTTTCCAAAGATCGGGACGAGATAGGAAAGGCTGAGAGACCGAAAACAAAAAGCCACACTCATCGCGAACCCATGCTCCAAGCGCCTTTTGCGTCACAGGGCCCCAAACTCAATGTGAATGCGCGCGTGGTTTATATCAAATCCTGCGCCACAGCTGCAATTAAGCTTTTCTGTACAGGGGGGGGGGTACATTTTTTTTTGGTAAACCCCATGATGAATTTTTGGTGGCGACCCCTCCCGGACCCACCCACCCACCCTACAGAACTTCGAACGCTATTTTCTCATATAGCCGTACACCAAAAAAGATGCAAAAAGACCAATGGATTTCTTTCAGTGTCCTCTTTCTGTGTATACAACTTGTTGAGCTTTTGCACCTACTAAGTCATGCCATGGTCGCGCCATACCATGGTCACGCCATCCAACCCTATAGACAGCAACGGGTGCACCGTTGTACACTAGCCTCATACACACGCACTACTGCGTCAAGACCAGCAATTACCAGCAAGGATTAGCAGGGCTCAGACAACATGCAGCGGCTGGCACAGGTGACGCAGCTGCTGCCGAGAGACCTGCCCCGTTCTACTCCCCTCAACCCCACCCCAGAGATGATAGGATCGCATTACGCAATGCCTTGTTACAACCCCCTTCACCCTGCCATACACTAGTCTCCGTTCATGGTCATCTGGTAGGTCTGCACGCCACCATGCACCTAGGTCTCCCACACCTGTAGCCCCGGTGAGCCTGCATGCAATGGCTCGCTTGGGTGACAGGGTTGTTTGGGGAGCCTTGCGAGGCCCCGCCCTGTCATTGTTTTTAGCTGTCATTTCACTGGCACCGCACGTTTTGCACCCTCTGCATATCTAGATCATAATACCCTTACTGCGCTTGCGCTTAATTAAGCATGCTCGTCCCATGCCGTACTTCGCATCGCCGTCTTTCGCATAAATACTAACTCTCGGCATAGTCCCGTCTCTTTAATCATGATAAGCCAGCCATCTTCATTGTCATACAGCCTGCGTCGATATACAGCGCAGCTCGCAGCACCAGCACAGCACAGGGACGCATGCCTGCTTTCTGTTCGCTCATCGCGCCGCCTTCTTGTGTCTCTGGACGCTTTTCGCTCACTATTAACGAAATTTGGTACGTCTTCGTTGCACAATTTCCCCTTGCTACGCAGGTTAGTCAGGGTTCGGACTAGCGGGTGGGCTGGGCTTTGTTAGACCCATGGGTCATTTGCGAGGGTCGGGCAGGGTGGGATGCTTTGGTGCACACAGCCGCATGACAGCCCCAGCTAAGCAGCGGAGCTTACATACGTTATGCTGCTGACAGCATTGCAGCAGAGAGATCAGGTGTAGCGCAGTGGAGCCAGTTATCACAGTAGCAGCCGCCTTCTATTCGCCAATGCAGAGTGATCTCAGATCACCCCAGCCGCCACGGAGCTTACAATACGGTTTGTTACTGATTGATGCTACTAACTATACAACAACTACAATTATATGCTAACCCAAATATCCAGCCTAATTCGGATTCTGGTTCCAAATTACCCCAGAGATGCAGCACATAGGGGAGCCGTGTCACATGGTTAACTTCCCTGCCCCCTTCTGCTTGACTGGGCAGACCACCTGCGGGTGATTCCCCCCTAAGTGGAGGCACCCGGACCCGCACCCTGCCTACCCACCACCGACCCATACGTGTTTTGGTACCTCTCTGACCACCCATGCGTGGTAATGTCATCATGCCATGCCCAAACCATATCAGGAAGAGGCAAAAATGCGTTTATAGACTGCTTACAGTATGTTTATCGTATAAATATACTTTATAGTGAGTTTGGCAACGCCAGGAAAAAGTTAGGAAGCCCTCGGAAAAAAACCCACTGGACCCCCAGACCCCACCCACCCACCTAGCCGTACAGTCACCTTTGGGCGCAGATAACTTTTTCCGTACAAACTCCAATTAAAATTCTGAAAGCAGATATGGAATGCTCTCAATGAGCTCTTTAACTTTGAATCATGGGGTCTGTCCTCGCGTTTCCTACCCCCCCCCCTGTTCTGTATGTTTGGCATATGTAAACGACCCCTTATACTGCGCGGATATGCTATCCTTGAATGAAGGGTCAGTTGATGAACGGGGAAGCAGGGGAAAACAGGCAACCCCAAAAGGCAACCCAAGGATAGCACTGAAGCATTAATAAACAACAATGTCATGTAACATAAACCATCCCGTTCCTGCGCGCCCAATGCATCCCTAAATTCCAAGCAAACAGAGACCACGCTCCACCTCACAGCCTCGCAATGTATTTTTGGGGGGGGGGCGAGCCCTGTGCCTGCGAAGCTGACGGGTTGGTACACAACTAAGCGAAGCCGCTGCAAGATGTGAAGCCCGCTTTAAGCCATGGGCATGTACCCATGTCTCTCCTTAGTCTCTCCTTAGAACCCTGTTCCCATCCCCTTACCCACCTGCGCATCCGACAAGAAGAGCGCGTTGGCCCGCTTCTCGGGCAACAACGAGTCGAACTCGCCCTCGCGCGTGTCCGACCCCGCGCCGCTCACCACATAGTACACCTGGTCCTCGGGGTACTGGGGTGCCATGGGGGCGGATGAGGGAGTGCTCACAGAGACCACGTGCATTCAAACCACTCGTGCGGCGTCCGTCGCTACTGCTGCCCCTCTCAAACGGCTCCCCGACTTACCTTAAGCAACTGCTGGTCGTGTTCGTGTCCGTTTATGTATGCGGCTACCCGGTAGCTGCGGAGCCAGGGACGCATGAACTGCATGTCGTCACAGTTGTTTTTATCATCCTGTGATAGGTAGGCAAGCAGGAAGGAAGGACAAGGGGACGGACGAGGCACAGACATAGCGCAGAGCTGAAAGACCACGGCGTGCGTGAGGGCAACGGCGTGTGCATGAATCTGCACATGTCTGGGCGAACAAATTGGTAGACAACAGCTATGCCTGTCCCTTTAAGCGGCATGACCCGTGGTTCTCGTTCCGCCCACATTTCGGCCACGAATGCCTTCACGAATACCGAGTCCGCCCCTCCATACCTTGCCAAGCACCCCAACCGCCGATAGACTCACCTCCATGCAGTGTTTGCCGTATGACCTGACGGGGTGGTGTCCCACCACCAGCCGCCAGCTTGAGCCGCTGGCCACCGAGGCGTTGAGCTGCGTTTGCAGCTGCGCCTGGATGGCCTGCGAGTCCTGACTGCTTACGCCGCGCAGGAAGGAAGACCAGGAGCGATTCTGATAGCTCTGGATGAAGGGATTGGTGTCCTGAGGTGAAAAGGGCAGAAGATTCCGTAATTGCCAGAAAATTATTCAGCTTTTGGGGGAACGAGATAAACGGATCCCGAACACTGCTAGAAGCATCGAAGAGGGGTGAAATAGCTCTTTCAATTTATTTCCGTCGATTTCGAGGGTGTCTTGGGGTGTGGGGTGGTCCCGGGGCCGGTCAACGTTTTCCAACTGCGAATACCGCATGGGTGCCGCTGGTCCTAGGTCCGAAGCGACCTAGGCGTACGGCACCCGCCATAAGGATTCCCGCTTTCTGTGCTTTAGAAAGCTTTAATAGCTGCCCAATAATTATTGGAAGTGATCGGTGTCCTTTCGGGACAAACCACTATTGTTGCGCGCTCGCGACCGCGTCGTCAGCCCTCCCATCCAGCGAAGCTCAATGGCTTCCCCATTCAATGTCCGAAAGGAGAATGTCTATGCCCTGGACGAGCTTTATAACCAACAGGCAAGACCAATGCACTTTATTAGTTTTGCGGACTGCCAGGACATGCATGCAGAACTTGTCCGCTTTGAAGGTGTGACAGCAGTAGGCCGTGTTTAAGACGAAAGCCGTTACTGAGCATGGGTTGCTGACGGTGCGACCATCTGACTGCTTTCTCCTGACCAAACGACGCGCTGCATCCAGTCACATCTGCCAACAAGACTCTTGCATACGTAACCCTCTCGGACTGGGAACCCTGAACGACGGCCACGCCTTCCCCATGACAACGTTACTTCATCACCACCAGCAGCGGTGGGACGTCCTGCCGCGGCCCCAGAAGAAGAACCGCCACCCGCACTGCCACCTGCAGCACCGGCACCCTGCAGCATGGGAGCCTGCACCCAGCAGCATGGGAGCCCATATCAATGATATAAAGCTTTGGGGTAGGGGTGGAGGCCCTCCTAATGACATAGGGCCAAAATCCGACCATCGAAATTTCGTCACGCCCGTTTAACCCCACCTTCATGCTACCTAACAAGAACAGTTCCCCAAGTTTCAGCGCAATTGGCGATGATCGGTTTCCCAGGTGGTGGCTTGGCGGGGGCTTCAGGGTGGAGGCCCTCCAAATGGCATAGGGCCAAAATCCGACCATCGAATTTCGTCACGTCCGTTTAACCCCACCTTCATGCTACCTAACAAGAACAGTTCCCAAAGCCATCAACCTCCTACAATATACAAACGCGTAGATGAAGTTAGCCAGGGTACCCGCTGAAGTAAACGTATGGAATAATTGGGTTTGGGGTTGGCATATACACAGCATGAACCATTCTTTCAAGGAAAGTGGAGAGACTACCCAGGGGAAATGCAGTTAAACTTGCCGGCATCGGAAATAAGGGAAGGGGCAAGCTGTATGGCAAAGCTGTACTCACAAATACGCCTATGTCAACGAAGGGGTATGCGTCCCCATCAGCAGCAGCCTGCCCCAACTCCACCATATCCCTCTCGCCGGTATCTTCGGTGTCTTCGGAATATACTTCCTCGCTGAATACGAGGTCATCGTTGGACGCTTAAACGGCATCTTCAAACACTTCATCATCGTCATCGTTGTAGTCGGAATCGTAGCCAGAGGACATGATATCTCCATCTTCGCTCGCCATGGACTTATTGCGTTAAGTATTCTTTAGCCCGGTAGTAGGAAGAGCGTCAATGGACGACAGAGCTCATAAACGTTTGGCGACATTAAGGCGCCTGGCACGTGACACGCGGGTGCATTGGGAACATTGCCAAACACTGCTCCAACAGCTCCGGCTGGTGACCCGCCGATGCTGACACTGATGATCTGTAAACTGATCTATAACTGCTCCCTAACTATGCGATGACCCCAAAGGCTATCAGGCGCGTTACAACAGCTCCTAAGGACGTGGCAGGCTCTCTCTCGGCCTTGGCTGCGTCTCCGCCTACGTTGTATTACTAGTAACCGCTACCGCTATAGGCCTTAGACGCGCACGCTATAACGGAGAGTACATGCATGCGTGCGTGTCTAGGAGCGTTGGCCCATGGCCGCGCTCTCACCTAAGTCCCAGCTGACAATGCTGCATGGAAGCCCTCCCTGGAGAGATCACAAGTTCTGGACTCAACGCCCCAACGCAACCAACTCAACGGCACTTGCCGGAATCTACCCAGATAAACAGATCTGCTAATCTCCAGGCAACAGAAAAGCGCAACGGCATCACCTGACCCAGGTGTCCCACGGATACGACAACAGTTCTACGGTGCCAACTTCCGGTCCACCGCAACGCATACTAACCACTAACAGGACGGCTCTGCCTAACTGCTGACAGAATGCCCGCTACTGCCACAGCCCCATGGTTCTGCTGGCAGTAGTCCAACCCGCTGCCGGTAGAATAGCTGTGCCGGTAAACGGGAGTGACACCGCGGATCGACGTTGAGGTCCAGGTCCGGCAATCAACTGTCACGACATATCAGCACAAGTACGACCCTGACGAGTAAATGACGTTCGTATCTCGGTAAAGGAAGCTCGTATAAGAGTAGGATTGGTATCCATGGCCCTGGCGACCCGCGTACCGAACCGGCATTTATGAGTAGCCAGCATGCACCTAACGGTGAGGGCTTGAGTGCCACACGCGTTTGCCCAACAACATCCTAAAGAGTATGTATACCATCACAACAGGCGTAGCCTTGGGTTAGGCTTCTTCCTTCTGACACCTGCTACCAGTATACCGGTACCTCAAGCCGCCGCTTCCTGCACTCGTTTCCCTGCGTCAAGCCCCCTGTCGGCCAGCTAACATTTTTGGACGCCACGTGGGGACGCCGCGAAGAAAAGGGCAGGGAGAGGCAAATGAAGTGCCGGGACGGTCGGCCGTGCCAGGAAGGGCAAGTGTGGCAAAGAAGGAATGAGAAGTGAAGCACAGGGCCAATGGTGCAGGTAAAGCATTGGGAAGGGCATGGGGAGGCAGGCGCCACGCGGGGAAGGGCATAGAATTCCCTCAAGAGGGCCGCAGCGGCACCACATGGAGAAGGACATGGACACAGGCGCCGACCGGGCCCACGGGGAAGCGCAGTGGAGCACGCATGGTAAAGGGCATGGGGAGGCATGCCCCGGATGCGGATAGGCAAGTGAAGGCAGACCCTGCACGGGAAAGAGGGCATGGGAATCCCACGAGAGGACAAGGGGTACTGGGCAAGAGGCAAAGGTGGGCTGGGGCCGTGCAGAGACGGGTCTACGACAGCAAGCCCCCACGACGGACTGAGGCGTACGGGGCTGGGGCAGGAGCAAAGGAAGGCAGGCGCCACATGGGGAGAGGCAGGGGAAGACGGGTGACGTGCGGGGATAGGCATCGGGACCCAGACACCGCATGGGGAATGGCAGTTCCACTAGGAAGGGGGGCAAAGGAGCCCACGTTGGAATGCAAGGGCGCTGCACGGGGTGTTGCACGGGGTGTTGCATGGAGAAGGGCATGGGGAGGCAGGTGTCACACAGGGTAGGGTATCAGGGGCCCCACGTGGGGAGGCACGCGCCGCAAGCGGAAGGGCAGGTGACTGCAGGGGCCATCACTGCTGGTGATGAGCAAGGGGGTCCCACGGGGTGCCAAGGAGTATTGGGAGTAAGGGGCAAGGGTAGGCTGGCGCAGTGCAGGAACATTTATAAGAACGCACGCGCTGCGCGGGGAGCGCAGCTGCACAGGCCCCGGACTGATAAGGCCATCGAGAGGCCGCGAAGCGCATGGGGAGGCAAACGTCACGCACGGAAGGCATGCGCATGGTAGGCACAGAACTAGCTGGGAAGCGGCAAGGGAGGCAGGCGCTGCACGCGAGGGGCAGGGGAAGGTAGGCGCCGCACGGGGAAAGGTAGGAAGAGGCAGGCAATGCACAGGGAAGGCCGACCGAACAGGGAAATGCATGCAGAGGCAGGCGCCTTGTGGGAAGGGGCAGTGCGCAGAGAAAGGCATGGAGAGGCAGGTAGGCCAAATGCTGGGAAGGGCAGGGGAGGCAGGCGCCGCTCATGAACGGACACGGGGCCGCGCAGGGAAGGGCATGCATGCAAGCCCTGCATGAGGCCCCCACGAGGGGCCGAGGTCTACGGGGCAGGGGCAGGACCCTCTCTGACCAGTTTCCAATCTTCACCACAATCCACTAACGTTCCTTTGTGTAACTGTGCAATGCGCATCTTAAAGCACATCTGTGGAATTTTCCTATCTACTCCGCAAGGGAATGAAATCCGAAAAGTACCTCTGCTCCTCACATTATACGGTCTGTCCAGTGTATTTGCGTTCCCGTCCCAACACATCCTTAGTCATTACTGTGCACAGAACTACCTAAACTTTTGACCATCCGCTGCAAGCGGCCCTTGTACTGAAATGCGGTGGAAAGGGTAAACACAAGACGGCTGCCGTACGCCTAGGTCGCTTCGGAGTTCGGACCTAGGACCAGCGGTGGTCATCCGCGAATACCTCTTGTGTAATTGCTATATTTACGCTTGGCTTACATAGTACTATTGATTTACGCACATATCCTTCAGAAACAATTATTCCCGGAGCAATCCTACGGATTGCAAAGGGATTAGCCACCCCAACTCCTGCTGTCACAAAAAAAGGTGGCGAAACGGCGCGCTAGAGGCATCAAACAAAAGCAGAGAATACACGGTATACAGGACAGTGCGAGCGGACACGAACAACTTAGCCCTTGGCCCGTTATTCTTTTTTTAGGCAATTTGAGGTGTATTGTTCAGCTGTATTGTACAGCAACGACAGCTTCTCTTGCACGTAAATGCACATAGTACGTGGCAGTCAATGGTGACGATCGGAAAAGAAGGGACCGTGCGCCCCCTCAGCCTGAGACTACAATTAGGTTAATTTCGCACTGCCACCTACGGTTGGGTCGCCTTGTCAGCTATACTAGCTCACCGGCTAGCGAGGGGACTTGCACAACTAGGAAGGATACCGGTTTGGGGACATGCATGGGGGTCCTCATGATGGCTGTGGTAAGGGAAGGGCCTCATTCTTCTCCCTCCCCGTGCTTCTTGTATACATACCCTGAAACGCGTCACGTAATCGTGCTGCCACCTACGGTTAGGGGAGGGGCTGGCCTGGACGGCCTCTCACGCACAGCGCGGATTGGGCGGGGGGGAGGGAGGTGGGGGACATTGGATGACTAAAGATGATGAGGCGCCTCCTGGTCTGGTCACATGAACGCCATTCATCACACTTCTAGCTCATTATTCGTTGGTGGGCTATTTTTTCCGTAAACATTTCTACTCTGGGAAAGGGTTTGTGAGCGAGAGGGCAGGCGGGTAGCGGATGGGGAATTAACAACATACCAACCCATAGGAAACCACAGTAAGGGCAAAGCAAATGGGATGGGAGGCGGTAGAGTGTCACAAATACATAAGAAGGATAGTCGCAGGCTACAGTTCGTCGACCGTTACTATGTGGCGCACACCTAGCACTGCCTTCTCTTGCTTTAGCCCAGTATGAATTGCTAAGAAGTGAACAGGTACAGTTTAGGGATCTGGGTAGCAGATGTTGGGAAAGAGGTCAGGGGGCTGAGGCTACAGTTGGTTGTCTAACCGCTTTGCACTTGAGGCATCGCCTCTTTTCCTACGCACAATTATATTTATGTTCTTCATCGTTTTCTTCATGTGTTTTTTGTCGCTGCGGCCCGTTTACAACACAGCGGCGTCCCACACATTGCGGTCCCTCGTATTCCTCCGTCCAATCTGCAGTTAGTACGGTCCCTCCGTCTTCCTGCATCCTTTCGCGCTGCGGTTTCGCCCTGAACATCAATGATCAGCTTCCGTTCCCAACGCACCCACATTTCACGTGCCAGGCGCCTTGGTGTCGCCAAACGTTTATGAGCTCTGCCGTACAATGACGCTATTCCTCCTAACGGGCTTCCTAAACAACGCCCTGTTAGAATGTACGTCTGACGATGGTCTCAGCTACTGTCCTCCAGTGTAACTTCCGCTTCCTAAACAAGCAGCCACAAAGAAGCCTTCCAATAGGCGTCGTACAAAGACAGGCTAAAGCTTAGCCCGAAAAACAACAGCAACACCAGCAACGCGAACAACATAACATGTAGAAAAAAGAAGCAACCGGCAAATCACAACACGTTAAGAAATAGGTTCGCGACCACCAATCCACACGAGACATGAAACCCGAAAAAACCAGACGCAGTAAACAAACGACAATGGGATAAACGCAAACAATGGCCGACAGTTCCGACGTCTATGACCCAGAAGCGGAGCGGCGGCGTAGAGCAACAGCAAGGGTGCGAGCATGGAGCGAGGGCAGCACGTAGCCCCGAGCAACGTGCAGCTATAAGACAGCGTGAAAACGCAAGGCGGCAAGCAGCAAGGGCAGAGGCTGCTGAGGAAGCGGGGGCCGCATTCGGACTCCCACCAGCGGGCAGTATGGTGCGCCAGGTGCTGGAGCTCATGTTCCTAACACCCAACCAACATGGGGTGGGGCCAGAAACACTAGCAGAGCAGTCATAATCTCCCAAACAACGCCAACAACAAAACACATAGTACAAAAGAAGCAACAGGGAAACTACAAAACGTTAACCAAGCAAGGCAGGTGGGCGTCGTCAACAGGAACGGACAGCAAACCAATGGCCGACAATTCGGAAGACGAAGACTATGACCCAGAAGTGGGGCGGCGGCGTAGAGCAACAGCGAGGGTGCGAGCATGGAGGGCATCCCGTACCGTCGAGCAACGTGCAGCGATAAGGCAGCGTGAGAACGCAATGCGACAAGCAGCAAGGGGGGCCCAAACCCAAGACCAAGCAGGTAGGGAAGGGCAAGACAACGCAGCTGCAGCCCGTGCAGAAGCAGCAAGCGATTGCCAAAGTGGAGGCAGCATCAGGGAGCATGGAGGAGGAAGAGTACTCGGGCACCCAGGAAGCAGAGGAGGATAAGAACGACGTCGTACAGCAGGAGCTTGGCCACAGACTGCAGCAGCAGGCAAGGCAGGAACTAGCACCCACACCAGCAAGGCACGCACCCCAAGACACACTCAACACGACATGCGGGCATTGGGTGCACAGCATGGAGAAAACCAAAACCCGTGGCTAGGGGCGGATGGACAACCAGAAGCTGTACGCCTCTATGATAGCTCCCATGAAGCACTGCAGCGGAAATAAAAAGGAAGGTGCTCCTTATGTTTGGGGCCGCGGGTCAAAAGGGAGACAGTCAGAATGGTTATGGTCAGGCCTGAAACATAAGCAAAGAAAAAAGAAAAGTATACCATAACCCTCCCAAACCACATGCACACCATACCCCTCACATGCCTCCCCCCCCCACAGGCCAACAGGTGCCTGAATGTGCAATAGCCCACATTGACCCAGGGGCTGATATATACGGTAACGTTGACCGTTGCAGAGGTGCAGCTAATACCGGTATCCACTTATGGACCATAAGTTATGGTGCAGCGACAAGGCAGCATCTGAACGCAATGCGACAAGCACCAATTGGGGCCCAAACCCAAGACCAAGCAGGCAGGGAAGGGAAACACAACGCAGCTGCAGCCCGTGCAGAAGCAGATGAAGCGGAACAAGCCGCTGAGGAGGCATTCGGACTTCCACCAGCGGGCAGTACAGTGCGCCAGGTGTTGGAGCTCATGTTCCTAACACCAGACCAACATGGTGTGGGGCCGGATACACCAGCAGAGCAGGTTCTATGCGGGCCAGGTGGTGCAGCAGCAGATGAACGGGCAGTCGCAGTAGGGGCAGGGGTCTTCAAAACAGTTCTGCAGCAAGCACTAGGGCTACAACCAGCGTTCCGGCGGCATGCACCCACGGCGGTGTGCACGGCGTGTGGATACTGCAGGCCACCAGATCTTGCCCCTTGCGGCCCTGGGCAGCAGTGCGCCCACTCTACCAGCTGCTTCGTGCCGACATTGGATGGACAGAGGAGGTTCCACGTGGTTGACGCGCACGTTGGCAGTAGGGGAGGCCTGAACACCTCCGCCATGGCCTCCACCACGGGCACAAAGCCAGCGGACAACCCAGTGGGCCCAGCAAAACAACCATGGAGTTCCGGCTGAAGCAGAGGATGCAGAGGAGGAAGATGCTAGAGATGTACGGGCTGCACACCTCTGCCAACAGCAGCAAGCATCTGCCAAAGTGGAGGAGGAAGAGCACACAGGCACCCAGGAGGAAGATGTTGAACAAGGCCACGACCGCCAAGCCCACCAAAGCAACAATAAAGAAGCACACAAAGGAAACAGGACACCACCAAACCACGCATCATTACGACAACATACGACACCCATACGGTCGAAGCCTGCTTCTGCCTCTGCAACTAGCGTTCATATATTTGCTGGACAACTGCTACAAGCACCCAAGATGTCTCAGGAGTAGATACCGGCACAGCCGGGCAATCTTGACCGGCCTGCTCTGCTCCAAGTTCTTTCCGCCGGTCAGCAAAGCCAATTATTATGAACATGTGGGGAAATGCCAGCAACAGCGTGCAAACAGGCCAAAACGGGCCGCTACTTGGAAGTGCCAGGACTGTCCTTGCGGCGGTTTCACGACAAGAATGACCTCCGGCGTTCATGAAGACAGTTAGGGGTACTTTTTATAATAAACATCCACGTGCTGTACCTGAACGTCCGCGCGCTATACCTGATTGTTCGCGCTCTATGGCTGAACTTCCTGGTTAACATAAGAAAGCTGTTTAAACAGTATCGTACACGAAATTCCCATTTTGCGGCTGCTTTGGGGGTGCCGGCGTGGGTTGAGGTCAAGGGTGGGTCGCCGGACTTTTTGCTCTTACTGTCAAAAATTATTTCTTCTCACCCCCCCCTGTAATTGCTTTCGATAGTTAGGTAGAGTTTGCGGCGAGGCATTAAACGCCACGCCTTCGCATTCAACACCAATGCAGACCCCTCCATCCACTTCTCCCCGCCTTCTCCTACCATGAACAGTATATCCAGGGTGCCAGCCACTCCCAACTTGAAGCGCCGCGTTAACACCCCTCCCATGGTCGCATTCCACCGCAGGTCTCGAGCTGCCAGGTCCGGCACCGTCTGGGCAGGGAGGGAGGGCATGGGTGGCCCAAGCGACATCGGAAGACGTCAGTGCGGGACAATGGTGCAGGATAACAGCAAGCTTGCCGAAAGGTGCGGCTCCCACATCCCTCCCCCCCCACGCCAGTATCTCCAGCCGGCCGTCTCGCACCCCAGTCCTCCCCCTGGCGGCCCTCACCTGCCACCAGGGGCTTATGCAGCACCTGCTCGTGCACGCTTCCGCAGAGGGTGGCGCCGCCAGACACCTCCCACTATTAAGTAGTGAAGCGTCAACATTGTCACCATAGTCTACAGCGGAAGGGGGATAGAGAAGCGAGGGCTAGGGTCACTTCAGATAAGCGGGAGGTGCCCCACCGAGTTACCTCCGTTCTCACAAAACGCTCTCCTTCGCCGGTGCAGCCCTCTGCACACAGCGCCACCTCACCGTGGTTCCCCATGACCGCGTACCAGGGCACCTGCATCCTGGGCCCCGTGTACACCTGGGAGAAGGAGGCGTCGAACAAGGGGTCCTGCGGGGAGCTCAGCCCGCCTGAAGGAGGGTGGGATGGGGACTAGGGTTAGGGGCAGAGGCATGAATGGAATCGAGGGAGGGTCGGTCATGTTAGCATGCGGAGGTGGTCTGGCGATGGTGCGACGAAGTAAGCATTTAGATCTCCCTGCTCCTGGGTCCCTTGCTTTCCCTGCTTTACGCTGCAACTGGCAGTCCGGCATAGTAGCTGTGCGTATGCGATGCAGGTCGTAAACCCCCCCGGGTGCAGCTTCGCCCCGCCCTACTTGGGTAAAAGTTGTCTCCTGTGCTGATGATGAACTCGGGGGGCAAACACTCAGCCACATCCCCCATCAGTCGGGCAACACGCCGCTGGTTTGCGTTGCCTGACCTGCCCCAGTCGCCCACCACGAAAAACACAAGGTTTGGCCTGGTGGTGTCGTAAGCGCTCGGGCATATGTAATCCAGCTTCCGGTGGCCCATGGCCCAGGCCAGGCCGATGATGAGCGCCACGAGCGCCACGGAGCCGACGCCAATGGCGACGCCGAGCACAAGCCTCCGCTTCCTAAGCTGGTGCTCATATGTGTTTCGTGACCGTCCGACCTTCTCTACGTCGCTGGTGAAGAAAGGGTCCTCCTCTTCTAGGTCATATTCTGTGCAAAGCGCTTGAGTTCCCATTCGTCAAACCCGTGCCTTGCTCAAATCTGAGCTGCTTGTTAGCACATTTCCAATTGTAACATACCTACGTCAGTTATCCACTGATTATAAACGTTCGCAGCCCAGGAGGCAGACAAGGATGCACGCGGAGGCAACACGGTGCTAGGGTAAGCTGGAGCTTGCGCGGGAGGCTTATGAAGAACGCTTGGGTCGCAACGATTGAACACCGGCAGCATTTAGGCAGGCATTTGCATGGGGAAGAAACTTGGCTGCACGGCATCTGATGGAGACAGCTTCCCCGGATCGGCCGGCTGATTGGGCAAGTGAGGAAATCAGGCCTATCCGCATCCCCACACCTTTGGCCTTACGTCGCACGTTCTATGTACAAGACGAGTTCCTTGAGAGGTTCAGACATCCAAGGCATGCGGTTGTAGTTTTGCGCACGCTTGACACGTTGGAAGTGCGATGCCATTGTTCGTCTAGCCAAACATTAGTGGAGATATCGTCACCTTTACGGCGTAGGGAGAGGATTCCCATGGCTAGCAGGGCAGCCCCGTCCAGTGGCAGGCAGGGCGCAGAAGCACGTGTAGACCCGGGGCAAACGAAGGCGCAACACCATCAACCAACATTACTTAAACTGCCATCACAAAAGCGTGCTGCCTTGTTTGATTCGGAGGATTTCGACCCCACAAGGCTCGTCAACCAGCTCTATCCCGACGGTGCGTCCGTTTGGCGTTTTCCTAAATGCAAACTTTTGCTTAATTTCACTGCGCCTTTGCAGAGGCAAGCCTAACAGATCTGGATAAGTTTGTAATGGCTCTGAAGAAACAGGTGCGTTGGCCCTGACGCTGGGATATCCCTTCGAATAACTGCAGCTGAGTGCTTACTGACACTAAAGGACTACACCATGAAAATCACAGATTTGTCAAGTGGACCAGGAAATCTACAACGCTGTGAGATCTCAAGGCGGAGCGCATGCCCGTGCCAGGTGTGTTTAGGCCCTCGGGCTATCCTAACCGGTTAAAGGAATCTTGCGCAGCTAAGCGGGGCTTCACCCCTTTGGGGTTCCTGTCTGGCATGGAGGGCAAGCCCCGGCGCGGGTCTAAAGACGAAACGGCGGAGGGGAGTAACGGGGTTAACGCCATGTCCTTTTGTAAGCTTAAATTGAGCCTTCGTCCTGTGCTGTTTCCGTTCAGGTAGACACCATACACCATCTGAGCACGTGAACCAGGGATTCAAGATGCAGGCTGCCAAGTGATGCACAAAGGGCATTGAGTCAAATCTTTATATCGTATGCCGCTTAGCGTGGGGCGAGCCCCATGTTATCGTCCATTGCGTTCTCCTATACCTAACGGCGTTTGTTACCTGACGGGCTGCTGCACAGCATCCCTTCCAAAGAGGCAGGTGGATCGCGTTTGTCGCTCCCTTTCAAATTGCATCCCTTAGCATGCTGGCAACCCGGTCCTCGCTTCCTTGGACTGGTGAACCTGGCAGGGCCCCTGGTACTCCTTCCGACCGTGTCTGGCCCCATGTGACTGGCCCTAATTGGCCCGCAGGCAGGACCTTACGGTGGCTCACGGTCAGGTCATGGAGCTGTTCACAAAGATCCGCGACATCCAACGGAAGAGCGAGGAGAGCGAGGCCATGGTGCAGGAGATCTGCCGCGACATCAAGAAGCTCGACTTTGCCAAAAAACACCTCACAAACTCGATCACCGCGCTGCGTCGCCTGGCCATGCTCACGGCGGCAGTGACAGGTAGGCCATGCGTCCGATTAGGCACGTCGTAGCCCAACATAATGGCTACGTTGTGGCACGTCATAGTTTGAAGTGGTTGCATTTCCAATCCACCACAACCTGCCCTAGCTAGCTCAGATTCGCTTCTTGTCCTATTAGCACATCTGGCTGCGAGTCGGAACGTACTGCTTCTTGTAGTGTCACCCTCCATTGTACCGCATTCCTTAATTTTTCTCATGTATCTTAATTCCAGACCTGGAGACGGCGTGTGACCGGCGCGACCAGTACCGCAAGTGCGCCAACCTGATGGAGGCGGTGCACCAGCTAATGGAGTACTTCCAGCAGTACGAGGCCATCCCCAAGGTACGGCACACGTGAATCCTTGGGTTTATTCATCAGGCCTTTTTGGACCTCTTCTCTGACACTGAATAGCTTTTAACACGGCTTGCTCATATAAAAATGGCAATGGTGGCTTACCCCAAAGCACTTGGACGTAAATCCAGCATGCATGACACAACGCTTGCGGAGCCACGCGGGTGCTACGTCAAAACCTTCTTTTGCTATCCGTATCGCCCACACATGCGCTCAGGTGCGCTCCCTGGCTCGCCGGCTGGCAGCGGTGGAGTCCCGGTTGCAGTCTGCCGTACTGGACGACTTTAAGATTTTAATGGGCGGCCCTGCCAATGACGGCCTCAAGATGCCGCCGGAGAACCTGGACCGGCTGGCCACGGCGTGCCTGGTGGTAGATGCGCTGGGGAAGAAGGTATGTGTGCAGAGAAACGCCATGCTACGTTTGGGTTAACACGCGGTCCCGCCACCCACCCATCTGCTCGAGCAGGTTCAGGACCAGGTCATGGACTGGCTCTGCGACCGCGAGGTGAGCATCTACCAGACGGCCTTTGGAGGCGCCGCGGGCATAGGCACCGTGTCTGTGGCCGCTGCGGACGACCGGGGGGCGGCGGAGGTGGCGGCGCATGCCACACGGCTGGACAAGTTCGAGCGGCGCTTCGCATGGTTCCGTGCGAGGCTGGAGGAGAAGGGCGAAGTGTGGGGCGTCTTCCCACGGCGCTGGCGCGTGCCGCAGGTACAGCGGGGTGGCGCTGCAACTGAAGCACATCGTCGGTGCAACCGAAATACGGTATCACACATATCATCCATATATGAGCACTTCTGCACCTCCCCTGCTCCCTCCCCTGCTGTTAGGTGCTGTGCCTCACATTTTGCAAGATCACCAAAGCGCATCTGAAGCGCATTCTTTCGGATGAGGAGGCGCTGGCGGGGCTGCGAGCGGACGTGGCGCCGCTCATCAAGGCGGTGGTCGCCACCAACCGCTTTGAACGCGACATGGCGGCCATGTTTGGGGGCGGAGCGTCGGCCGGGCGGGGCGGCGGGGAGGATCTGGTTCGTGTTCGGGGCGGGATCTGAGGAGCCCGGAAGTCTGTTTTCTATTTGCCGGCTGCCGTGTGGCTTGTCCTGAGTGTCTCAATAATCCACCCTTTCCTTGGGCTCCCGTAACCCCCATGCCGCCAGGATGACGACGCAAAGGGCAGCGATTCGGTGAGCGCCAGTGAGGCGCGGCGGCGGCTGGAAAAGTTTCGTGCGCGCGTCAAGGCAGAGCAGCAGGCGCAGGCAGCGGCTAGGGAGGCGGTTGCCAAGGTAAGAGAGCTAGTTCTTGCAACGTTGCAAGGTTTGGGGATGGCGGTGAGGACACGGGTGTTTACGCGCCATCCCTTTGCTTTGATAATGGCATGGTTGCTCTTTCGATGCTCACCAACTTGCTTTCATCGTGGCTATGGTGCCGGTCCATTGCAGGCCGGGGATCGCACGCGGGAGGCGCAGGACGAGGCGATTAAATTCGCTTTTGAGGGGGCGGTAGGCCGGGCCGGGGCTCAGAGTGTGGGTTCTGATAGAACTGATGGACAAGTTACGCCACCTTTGTCGGCAGGTGCTTCTCGCCGTTCGCTGCTAGCACTCAGGCCTAAGTGCGTATATAGGCTTACATATCCATATTTGCTGGGACCATAACTGGGACCACCACCCGCCTCCAGTTCAGCTCCCATGTTGTCCCTTCACCGCGGCATAGCACATTCCTTCCTTGTCCTCTTTGCTCAAATCAGACCTATCCCATTCCTCCTGAACTTCGTACATGCCAGATGTTCCCTTTCTGTTGCACGCTTTCATTTCACGTTGCTCGCTAACGCCGTACTTCGCATCGCCGCACTTTGCTCAAAATCTAACTCTCGCCCGGTTCTTTGTCTTCAGCCCCCCTCAACGTCATGCAGCATGTCGTCGGCATACAGCGCAGCTATCAGCAGCATTTGGGCGTATGCCTGCCTCTTCTTCGTTCATCGCTCCGCCTTCCTTGCTGCTTGACGCTTTCGATCCTATGACGCTTTCGATCTTTCAAGGACATATTTAGTACCTCTTCGCCGCACATCTTTTCCTTGCTACGCAGGTTAGTCCGGACTGGCGTGCTTGGCTTTTTTAGGCCCAGGGGTCACTTGCGGGGGCGGGCGGGTGGGATGCTTGGTGCACACAGCCGCATACCAGCCACAGTTTATCAGCGCCGTGGTGCTCAGCTATGCAGTGGCGCGCAGCTGTGCAGCGTTGCTCAAACGCTAGCCAGCCATTTGCTAAAAATACAAGTCCAAATGACATGATATCAACACAGCCGCCTGCGAATGGAGCTTTAATACGCTTTGTACTTTGGTTACTGCTATTGACCCAACAAATAGTCATATACATATTCCTAAACCTATTCCAGCCTAGTGCGGAATTCCTATCCGTTATCGCTGGTAATCCCCTCGGGCAGGTTTCGGAGGCGTTCGAGGGCGCCCTGGTTGAGTTCTACATTGGGCAGGAGGAGCGGGAGCATCTGGAGCACCTGGACCTTGTGGTGCGGGAGGAGGCGGAGCGGAGGTGGCTGCCGGATGAGGAGGAGGGCGACGTCACAGGAAGCGGTCTCAAGGTGCTGCAGGTACGCTTGAAGACGCTGGAGGGGCAAGAGAGAAGAGGAAGGCGCGTGAGGAGGGTTAGGGCTGCCTAAAGATTATGTCTGGCAGGTTTTTGTTGCATGGGATTTAATTCGCCAGCTTCAGGCGCGACCACAAAGAAAACACTGTATGCAATCACAACGTTTCCCCCGCCCCCCTTGCTTCCGCGCCCGTTGACCTCTTCTTTCCCAGAGCGCCAACAAAATCTTCTTCAAGATCCGCTCATCGCTGACACGCTGCGCCAAGAACGTCAGCCGCGGCCCCACGCTGGTTGCTCTGGCGCAGCTCTTCAAGCGGGTGCTGGGAGGGTATGCATCCGACCTCATGCGGCGGCTGCCGCGTACGGCGGCGGGCACCACCACCGCAACGCCGGCGGCGGTGGGCGGACCAGTGGAATGGTGGGTCGGACGGGGCTGGCTTGTCAGGCTCTTGTTAGCATATGCTGGCGAGGATTCCTCTTGTTTTTTAGCGTCTGCTTTCGTGACGCCTTTACGTCCTGGAGGTATAATTGCTTTTTACCTCATCCTGATCCGGCACCATTCAGGTACCTGCGGTTGAGCGAGGAGGAGGAGCGGGTGGTGTGCTGCCTGCTGGCCACGGCGGAGTTCTGCCGCGAGACGGTGGAGGGGCTGGCGGGGGCGTTGGCCAAGGACGTAAAGCCGCAGCTGGCGGACCGGGTAACCTTGGCAGACGAGGAATCGGCCTTTGTAGGATTGGCCAGGTGGGGATGAGCAGTGCGGGTGTATGGGTGGCCGCGGTCATGTGCATATGCCTGAAGACCTGTGTTCGCCTTGTTTCCTACCTTGACCTTCGCAGCGCCTGCATGAACGTGTTGGTGCTGGGCATCAACACTCGGCTGGACGGGCCGCTGCTTGAGATGCAGCGCATGCGCTGGGACGCGATAGAGGCGCCCGGGGACGACTCAGCCTTCGTAAACAGCATGCGAAAGGTACGGCAAGCAGCACGAAGCCGTCAGGGGGCAGCGGGTTGGGCGCTTGCGGCTGCCGTAGTCCCTCCATGTGCGCCCTTTTCATGCGGACCATGTAGCACGCGCATTCTGTCTGCCACGTGTCCAATAAGGGGTTCGGGTCATGGAAATGCGGTGAAGCCGAAACGCGTATGCGTTGACACGCAGCATGTCCCACATGCCTGGAGTGCTGGGTGGACGCCTTCCACCTGCTCCACCTTCTCCCTTACGCCATGCTTAGGTCGTACTGCCGTGTGATCCATCTGCCTTCTCTTCCCCTCAACCCACCTCGCCCCACCATTTTGGACGTCAGGTCCTACTTGACTGTGGTCCCCGGCTGGGTGCAGCACTGGACGCGGCCAACTTGTGCTTCTTCTGCGACAAGATGGCTCGCATGTTCGTGCCGCGGCTGCATGACGCGCTTTTTCGGCTGCGGCGGGTGGGCGATAAGGGCATGCTGCAGCTGGCGGTCGACATGGACACGGTGAGTGGACCACGGCTTGTGGATGTGGGAGATAAGGTAGTGCGTGGCTGAGGTGACACGCGCGTGCGGATTTGGTGGTACTGCATTGCACCTACCAATCTGCCTGGGGTTGCCTCGTGATGTGCGAAACAACTTATCTACCCCTATGCGTCTTCCAGAATCCAAACCGTCGCCTCCCACCCTTGCAGGTCCGGCGCACGTTGCTGGACTTCCCCAAGGTGGCTCGCTCGGGTGGGCACCACGGACACGAAGAACAGGTGCAGAGGGCAGGAAAGGTGGTCCTGTGCACTCCTTTGCCTGCTTTTCATTATCCTTCACCTTACGCCCTCGTGTCTTTCGTCCACTCAGCTTGGGCATGTTGCTTTCCGGTTTAATTTGTCTTTCAGCGCAGCATAAGATGCCCTTGAAACACGAATGTCTTTTCAAAAAATTCACATCTTGTTAGACAGCGGAAGTTAGTGGAAATAGCGTCAATGTACGGCAGAGCTCATAAACATTTGGCGACATTAAGGCGCCTGGCACGTGAAATGCGGGTGCATTGGGAACGGAAGCTGATCGTCGATGTTAAGGGCGAAACCGCAACACGGAAGGATGCAGGAAGACAGAGAGACCGTACTAACTGCAGATTGGACGGAGGAATACGGAGGGACCGCAATTGTGAGACGCCGCTGTGTTGTGAACGGGCCGCAGCGACTAAAAACGCATGAAGAAAACGGTGAAGAACATAATCTAATTGTGCGTAGGAAAAGAGGCGATGCCACAAGTGCAAAGCGGTTATACAACCAACTGTAGCCTCAGCCCCCTGACCTCTTTCTGCTACCCAGATCCATACTAATCCATACTGGGCAGTGCTAGGTGCTAGGTGTGCGGCACATAGTAACGGTCGATGAACTGTAGCCTGCAGCGGGGGCTCCGCCCAAAAAAAGAGCCCACCAACGAATATTGAGCTAGAAGTGTGATGAATGGCGTTCATGTGACCAGACCAGGAGGCGCCTCATCATCTTTCGTCATCCAATGTCCCCCATCTCCCTCCCCCCCGCCCAATCCGCGCTGTGCGCGACAGGCCGTGCAGACCAGCCCCTCCCCTAGCCGTAGGTGGCAGCACGATGACTTGCTGGCCGTTAGGTTCCTTTGTCCAAGCATTCAACTGAAAAACCTGGAACTCCCTGACTCGACCCCATTCGTGGTCACAGTGAATGTCTCCTCGCGGCTTTTCTGTCGTCCCAACCCCGCCTCCTCAGTCGTGTTCCACATCCATGGAGATATGGGACATGCTGCTATGTCAGGCCTTCCACTAAGGTGCCGTGTGCGCGTTTTGTGCTTTCAACATCTGTCGTCCCTTTAAAGTTTGGGAATTGGGCGGGTTCATTCGGCTACTGTGGTTCGGAGGTGAAGTGTCATCGGACCTATAGAGGTATGACCACTTCGATAGAATCTTTTCTACAGTGACAAGTACAGTCCGTACGAGCCAGGGGGGCCAAGGACACTATGAGAAACGAAGGTCGTCTTGAATCAGGGTCCCCTACAGGCCGCCGTTTTGCGCAGGTGGTTCTCACAGACACGCGGGTCTCCCATGCGCGGCCTAGGTAGCCAGGCAGGGCCTCGGGAGGGGCAGAGGTCATGATCTCCCTCATGGACCGACTGCTAAAGCTCAGGGAACCCTTGTACTCGCGTATAAGAAACGAAGAACCCTGCCGTACAACAAACTTTGCAAGCCCAGAACGTTTTCGGACGACCCCAGACAAAGCTCTGAAAGGAGATTTGGAATCCCCACGCAAATCGGCTTCAGTTTGGGGCTTGGGATTTATTTTGTGTTTCCTAACTCCCCCCCAGGAGGGGTGCGGAAGTATAGTTCTGTACCTCATGCCCCCTCCGGGCCCGAGACACCCCGGGGGTAATAGAACTCATCGAAATCTGCCCCTTGAATTATGTTTTGGGCCCGAAAGGGGGTCCCTGTGGGGGGGTCTGGGCCCTGTGAGAAAATTTGCCAACTTTTTCCTGATGCAAGTTTAACACGGAAAGAAGTTGGAACTATCTAATATAACCAATCCTTACTTTTTAGCATCAGTTTAAGCTCCAAAGGGACAAAAAAAGCTTGTTCGCCATCGCAATGCTCATGGTTGACCGAACTACGTAGCAGCCCTAGGCCCCAGAAGCACCGAATAGGTGGCATTAATTACTAGCATAGCAATCCTGAATTTGTTTCAGCCAGGCAAGGCCCCAGCTCCGTGCCCTGCAAGCCAATGGCTCCTTTCATTAGCACTGCCAGACTGGCTGCTCTGCCACCAACTAATGCGGCGTTAAGAGGCTTGCAACAGCAAGTGTAGCTTTAAAGTAAAGCCATCAAAGCCATCGCCGGATATATGTACAGGTGGCCCCGGGTATTGTGAGACAGTGGGTATTGTGAGACACTCGCGTTTATGGCACCCTGGGTGCACAGAATGCTTAGCCCTTTTATATATAAGAAGTAATGGTTAGACACATGTTTCTTATCAAATTTGTTTCGAAGAAAAGTGTCGCGCGGTACCGGAGCAATGCCGGCTTTGCCGACCGGATTTGGAGATTTTGGACTCGCTGCCATGTCAAATTCGGCCTCGGCACTAAGCATAGACTCTTCTTGTGGCCCCTTAAACATCTTATAAGCCATACAGAGCCTTAGCAACGATTTATCGATGCGTTTTGTGTATAGCGTGACTCTTTCGCCAGCAACGAGCAGCAACTTGATGCACGACCCGGACCGCCAGAGCCGGGAGAAAGCGTGCATTGCAGAAGCAGGTTTCCTATCACATGTACTCCATTTATGTTGCAAAAATGCAAGTCGGCGTCAGTGTAGGAGAAGAGTTGTGCACACCATGATGGCGATGTGGATCTCAGCTTGCGAAGCAGAGTTTGTGAGCACTGGCGAGTTTCTAGCTGTGCACATGAGTGCTGTTGATATATGACGTTAACATGCCGCAAGGCAATGAGTTCTAACCGCTTTTTATGGCTGTTTATGTGCTAAAATCAGGTGTCTCAGATTACCCCGGTTTTCGGGAAATCAGCGCATTGTGACCCTGCCCCGAAGATTGTGAGTGTCAGTGTGATAAACTTAACTTTGCTGGCCGCGCGCACTACGCCGTACGAAGGACTCATAGGGCTAGCCAATGCCGCAAATTGGACTTCGTTTCATGCTTTCTATCAAAATTGCGAACCTTGGAAGTGCAAAGGTGTCTCACTATACCCGGGGCCACCTGTATGTATGTTACAAGCTTCGTACCGAGCTCGTAAGATCCGTCCGAGCCAGAAGGCTCATGGATCGCGAGCACAAAACACGTTAACAAACAAAAGAAACTTTGGCGTTGTCCGGTACCCGGCTGCAAGATGATGCAACATCTCGGAGCGCCAGAAAGAGCACTGGGCTTACGAACGCGTAAAAGTCGAAAACAGTAGTTTCGTACACGAAAAGCTTTTGCCGTACAGTAGTTTGGGGTGGTGGGGGCTGGTGTGTGTGGGGGGGGGTCCGTCAAGAAATGTGGCATGAGGTCTTCAAATTCTTTTCACCCCTCCTGGCCCCCCCGTAAATATCCCCAAATGTCGATGTTGTGCAAACACTTGCGTCACTACGGTCCCTCCCTTTGCTTGCACTCTATACAGTCTTTCTACGCCCCCTCAATCCCACTGCCCGGCTCCGTTTTATGCCCCCCCTCCCCTCCCAGGAAATGCCCGCCTACAGCGCCTACATTGAGCGCGAGATGGGCTTCGTGGTGGCGCTGGTTAAGGTGCTGCAGTCGCGGCCCGAGCAGCTCGTGGAAACGTACATGCTCCTCATGCCGGCGGCGGCGCAGTCGCCGGCGGAGTTCCAACGGCTCTGCGAGCTAAAGGTGGTGTGGCGCGGGAGGGGCGCTTGGGGCTTTGCGCATGAGTGCGTCGACTGCAGATGGGTCTTCAATCCTAGGGCCTGGGCCGTGTACCCGATAGCATCCACCAATGGGCTTTGGTTGGGTGTGTGCTGGTTTTGGCACATGCATTGACTAGCCAGCTGCCGTACTGTAAACCCGCCAGTACCGTACTGTAAAGCCGTCCTTGTCTAAGCGCCCCCCACTCCAGCGCACTTCTTCATCCACCAGTGTTTGTGATCCGCAGGGAGTCCCTCGCAAGCAGCAGTCCGACCTCGTGCTCCTCTTCCAACAGCGAGCAGCCCAGGCGGGTGGCCGGGCAGCAGGAGCAGGACCCACGGGTCTATCGGGAGCCGCAGGGGCCTGCGGGGACGCACCCGCTGCTCCGATCGGCGCAGCTGCAGCCGGCTGCGAGCCGGGCCTGGCGACGGCGGCCGCGTCCAATTTGGGGACTTTCAAGTTGTCCATGAATAACTTTACGCGAGATCTTGCTGCATCCATTCCGTTTGCTGGCAGAAGGACAGGGCAAGAAGGGCTAGCGATGGGCTCGCCGGCAGGACCACCACTGAGCAAGGTGAGGGAACAATCATTGACGAAACGGACCTTAACCACATTTTAAAGAGCAGTTGCATGCTTGGTTAATGTGCGTTTTGGTGATGCACATGTTTCACTTGCCGCGGCTAAGTAGCCCCCTCCCTTTCCCGCAGTCTTCGTCGCTTTTCCACAACCGGACCGGCGGCTCAGATACCTCCGTGGGGTCGGGTACAGCAGCTGCGGGCGCATTCTTCAAGGAAACAGCAGCTAAAACGAAGGAGGGCTTTGCCAAGATCGGCAACTTCTTCGCTTCTGCGGCAGATGGGTCACAGAGAGCGACTGAGTAGCCAGGATGAGGAGGACTGATGGGAGGTCGTTAGCGGCTGGGCTTAATGGGTACTGCTGCAAATACACGAGGCCGATGGCAGCGACGTTGACTTAGCTACGAACTCGTGTGGCCGTGTTGTAATGGAGGCGAATTGGAGGTCGGCGTTAAGGTTGATGTGGTTCTTAAAGTGGCAGTGCGAGTTGATGATGCAACAGTACAATCCAATGGGAGTTGCCTGTTTTACCCTACTCCCCCGCTTGAGCAACGTCCAGAGATTACAGTTACAGTCTGTACGCGTGTACAGTGTCCGTACAAGCCAGGGGGGCCAAGGACATTATAAGAACCTAAGTTAGTCTGAGTCAGGGTCCGGCCTCCGTTTAGGGGCTCTGGGCAGGTGGTTTCTGACAGACATGCGGGTCTCCTGTACACGGCTCAGGTAGCTAGCCAGAGCCTTGGGAGGGGCAAAGGCCATGACCTCCCTCATGGACCTACTGCTAAATAAGGATTCCGGCCCAAGCCAGGAAGCTGAATGGTTAGGGAAAGCCCCTCCTTCCAGACGAAGGGTTGCCCTTACTCCTTTAGCTAGGACCGCCCTCTCCTCACCGATTGCCATGCGCTCGCATGGTCATCTGCTATCTGGCGTGAAAAGCCTTCCCTGACCGCGGCGCAGACGGTGCTCCATGGCTCCCATTGCAAACCAGGCGAACACCATGGCGCTTGAGGCAATCGACGGTGGCAATGTCAATGCTCTTTTTTAAGCTTGGCGCGTGCTGCGAAGGCCACGAACTTACAGATGACCTAGCTGTAGCTGTCGCAGTTGGCTGATGATCGCCCGCTGACGACACTGAGGAAGCTCAATGAGACATAATTTTATTAAGCGTAGCCAGAGAACCATTAAAGCGGAAAGAGCGAGATAAGGCAGCGCAGCCTTGCATAAATGAGTGCATGTTGTCCGGCAGTCCGGCATATTGCAGAAAGTTATCTACAACTAGGCTATGATAACAGGCGCGACATTCCCGAGCAAGCAGGTGTTAACAGCTGTGCAAGCTGTCACTTCTACGCAAAGTTCGGGTCGACAAGGCCGACTACGCCATCTCTAATGGCATGTAACCTAGTCCAGTAGTATAATTTAAGCGGAATGCATTTTCGCTAAGTTGAACGCGTGATGCAAAGAAGCAAGGGAGTACGGAAGTGAAAATAAGCTCGCCGTACATGCCCACCCCATGAAAATAAGGGGGCAGGAAAGCTAGCTTCCTGGTTGCATGATTCCGGAATTGCTGCTCTCTCGATGGCCATGATGTCCCCCAGCATCATGCCATTAGGCGGGTTCACAGCCCGGGGAGAGCTGATGGGAACGGGAAGTAGGGGGGACGTGCGCATGGATGTGCGGACGGCAGGAGAGCTGGGTTCAGGGCAAAACCTTCGCCCTCTTCCTCGTCGTCGGGGTCTTGCCCTCATCTTCTCCTTCTGTCGCCCGCTCCCTCACTCTACAGCCCCTACTTCCACCCTTTCATGCTACACACGCCATGCGAGCTGCCCCGCTCTTTCGCTGCTGCTGGGCTTAGGCCGGAACCCTGGCTCGCCTCTTCCGGAGCTCGTACCGGCCACGCGGCTGGGAATCTCCAGTGGTTCAGCCGACGGTCGTTGCTTATCGTGTAGCGCGGTAGGGATGTAGATCTGGGGAAGCCGCATGAGGATATGGTGCTGCTGCTGCCTATTGTGTGGCGCGCCAGGTTGGGAGCCGCGCCAGGTCGCCTCATGTCCTCCGGCATTGCGGTGGTGTGTGGAGCTGCGTGGGTAGGAGGGGCGCTGTGTGCTCCCAGCTGCCAACGGAGGGCAAGTGGCCGATAGAGAGAGGGAAGGGAGCGAGGTCGCTGTATGCGAGCGAGAGGGGCATGCGAGGGGGGTGGACTCGGGGGAGGGCAGAAAAGCAGTGGAAGCAGTGGCGTTGAGTGGGGATTGAACATGACGCGATAGGTGGGTAGGGATGTGTGTCACGCAAATAAGCTGGGTTGCAGTTTTGGAGTGGAGGTTAGGAGTGAAGTAAGGATTTGCTCCCATGTTGCATGCAAGTCGTGACAGCTTCCGATGAGGTGGTAAGCGTTGTGGCCTTCTCACCTTAATGTCCCCTCGTCCCCTCTTCTCGCTCTCTTCCTTGCATCGAGGTCTTGCCCTCACCTTCTCCCTCTGCCGCCCTCTTCCTCACTCAGGAGCCCTTACCTCCGCCCTTCCGCTGCCCTTTGGGGCCACGCACGCCATGTGAGCTGCCCCGCTCTTCCGCTGCTGCTGGGCTGCTGGGCTTGGGCCGGAATCCTGGCTCGTCTCTTCCGGCCACGCGGCTGGGAAGCTTCAGAGGTTCCGCCGCGGCACGACGGCCGCTGCTGCCGTACCCTTGCTGATGCGCATGAGGGCATGGTGCTGCCGCTGCTTAGCGTGTGGCGCGGCAGGGATGTTGCTGGGGGGAGCCGCGCCAGGTCGCCTCATATCCTCCGACATTTGGTGGTGTGTGTAGCTGCGTGGGTAGGAGGGGCGCTGCCGGTGGGAGGGCAAGCGGCCGAGGGGGAGGGGGAAGGGAGCGAGGTCGCTGTATGCGAGCGAGAGGGGCATGCGAGGGGGGTGGACTTGGGGGAGGGCAGAAAAGCAGTGGCGTTCAGTGACCTGAACAGGTCACGACAGGTCGGCAGGGATGTGCGTCTCGCAAATAAGCTGGGTTGCAGTTCTGGACTTGGGGTTAGGAGTGAAGTAAGGACACCCTCATATGTTGCGTGCAAGTCGCGACGGCACCCGATGAGGTTGTAAGCGTTGCGTCCCCTCTTCTCGCCGTACTGCCGCAAGCCCCTCCTCATTCGGCTCATGACACCCTCCTCATTCCACCAGTTTCTTGCACTCGTTTCGTGACACGCCTCGTGACACGCCTCGTGACATGCCGTTTCTAAGCCACACCGGCGCGGTTTCGGTAAGGGCTGTTAGCCCTTGTTTTGTGGCACCTCCTCTCCCTATTGTCTTGCCCTTGTTTGTGGTCTAGGTCTTCTCTGGCCCGCGCGACTGCATTCGTTAACCCCCGAGGGGCCGTACCCCCTCCTCACCCCATGGTTGTTGGCCGGGATGGGTTCGTTGGCGTATGGCGGCAGTTGTCATGCGTGGCGGTACAGCCAGCAGGGGTCAGCCGGCAGAGCCAGCAGCTGGGTGTCAGGAGCACGGGGTTCTAGCTTGGTGTGCACTGTCTGTGCTCAGCGGAGGAGCTGCTCGGGGTGGTGACATGACACCTTTCTCCTGTCTTTGCGGTGTCTACCATTTCCAGGCCCGTGCTTGCCTTACTCTAGGCGTGCTGCACTGTCTCTTGTCTCGGTGCGGGGAAGTGCTTAACCACCTCGCTCCATTGAGCTAGCTTCAGATAACCTTTGGTGGCACAGCCAAGTAACCCACTCCGCTCAGCAGCCAGGCGGCTGTAAAGTAAACCTCAGGAGTCCACCCCCGTTCACCTAACGTCTGCACGACGCATCCCTAAATCCTTCCTTACTGTGTATACCGGCACATGTCATGCAACCGAACGTGAACAGTGCAGCACGGCCAGGTAAGGATACGTACAAGCGCATGCCTTCTTCTATGTCAAGCATTGCGCACCCCTACACGTGGCAATGGCTGTTAAGTTAGGTACAAAGAGATGCGCACGGTTGTACGGCTGGTAATGGGTAAGGGAGTTTGCAGGAATCAGGAAGGGGGTGTTCCTCAGCATGCATGTACGTAGATGAATGAAACCCATATAAAGTAAATTGCATTGTCGACCACTGCACGTGACCAAGATTCTAATTTGGTTTATACGAAGGTTGACAGCAGATAGTGGCCGTGGGTAAGGGAGTTTGGGTGTAGGAGGAATGTAGCATCAAGGGTCACTTAGGGAGTAGCAGGCATGCATGCAGCGGTCAAGGATACCGGTATGTCGTGCTCACTTGCAGACGCATCCTATGCCTACTGCCTACATCACGCATGCGCATATTGCGACTTCCACGTACCGTACGGAGGGGTGTTGCTGTTCAAGGATTTGCAGGACTTTGTGAAGGGCTGGGAAGGGCAGTAGCTTACGTAGCTGGTGGTTTTATGTTTCCCAGTTTGCTTGCATATGCTAGGTGGTGCGAACGCACTGTGGATGCATGCAGCCTCTCAACTGCACTGCTGTGCGGTCGGCAAGCGTGCATGCGGGGAACAGCTCAGCCAAGCAATGTGCGTACAGATAGCACTTCACCAACATGTTCCTGGTATAGATTGCACTAATACGCCTGCTTTGGGTTGTACGCGGCAGAGCACTTTGCGCTTAGTGCCAATGTTTGACCATTGAGCCGACCATGGCCGTCAAACCGGTAGCCCTTTCAAATTCCTATGCTACCGCCCTTGCCTTGGGTCATATCAATCTCAATAATGGTATTTTCAAGGCAGGTTCCGAATGCCCAAACCGCGACGATGGACCCCAAAAAGTATAAGGATTTGATTATTTTCGTTTGCTGAATCGCAAAAATCGCGCGGCCTCCGGCCGCGTTCTTTCTGAGACATGCCCATCCTATCGAAAATTTGCCGTTACAAACCCTAAAGCGGTGCTAGGTGGCTAGAGGCTTGCTGGCTTTACTCGGAACCAAAATGGGAGGAAGTACACCCCATCTGGCTTGCACCTGGACGCGTTTACGGCCATCGCTGGGCAACGATGCGTGGCAATCGGGTGTCACACTTAGAGTTGTTTGCACAAAAGCATGTTAGGTGCAGCCCGTTTTAGGCAGGTGGTATCGTGAGGCGAATAGAGTCTGACTGGTTCAATCGTTTTCCCCCTAAGCGCTGCGGCATACTGTTAGCCTAATACTAGCAGCAACACGATGGCGCTGAAAGTGAACCTTACGCTAAACAAGACATATTTTCTTCCTGGCGAGGTAGTCCGTGTTTCTGTCCAGGTAGGCAATCGGGGTGTTTTATTGCGGTGCATGAACTCGCAAACGAAGATGTGTACATTCATCCTGCTGCAGATTAGCAACGATGAGGACGCAGCGAGCACGGGAGAGAATACAGGCGTGAAACAGCTACATAGTCCTCTGCATATTAAGGAGATTAGCTTTCAGGCTTGTGGCTTAGAGCGAACGGACTCTAGCTTTATTAAACGCTTGCACCATCAGGAAGTGCCGGCGGATGTGTCCGATGCTCGAGTAAGGCTTGTGCCCGTCCAATCCTTCCACGTATCTTTCCACGTAGGGTTGCCAGCCATATCTGGGTTTTGTAGCAAGTATGCTTGACAGGACGACTCCAGCATTGGCGTGGAACGATCCTTCGCAATTCTCTACCCCCATCCTTGTGTAGAGGCAAGTTCGCAATATTTTCAGTACCGAGCCTGCGCTTCTTATAAACGACCAGGTACTGGCACCGCATGCTGTGCAGCACTTTCAGCTAAGGTATGACCAAAAAGCGGATCTGGTACATGGGGCGGATATGGTATTGTTAGGAGATGACTAAGGGGACTTGCTGTAACACGCAAAGGTATGTTTACTTTAGTTTCCCTGACGGTGGAGGGGGGAAATTCTGGGGTACCATTCTCAGGCGCCATCCATCCATCCTGAGTCTGCAGCTCTGCACCTTCCATTCTCGTTTACCCCTCCCCATTGCATGGTTCTTCTTCTTTTCCCCATTGCGTCGCAGCTCCCGAGAACCACATGACCGCTTCTTGTCCCGCAACCCTCTCTCCATCTTCTCCAGGTTCCGGCTGCCCTCCGTGCTGCCGCCCTCCTTTCGGGGCACCGCTGTGCGTTTCCAGTACCTGATCCAGGTCAAGGCCGTGTACCGGTTGCATACAGGCGAGTGGGAAGCACCCTTCGCGGGTTTGGAAAGCCGCTCATGCTTACATGGCCTGAGTTACTGCCACACATTACAACCGCGCATGGACGGTCTCCCAAACTGTCCTGTACGCTTTTCTCATGCTCACCCACGCCCATCTTCTCCTCACCCTCACCCCCCCATCAGATGGCGCCGAGGCGGTTGCCTACGAAACCACCGCCTCCACCTCCCTCGTGGTCTGGCCCAGCTGCTCCACCACCACTGCTGTAACTGCACCCACCACCCCGCCCGGCAGCACATCCACTCCCAGTACCGCTGACCGCCAAGGTGGCAGCAGCTCCCAGGACCCCTCCGCCAGGAGCGCAGGCGCCCTGGACTCCGCCACAGTCGCACTGCCGCAGCGGGAGCTCTCCCGCACCAGCACGGCTGGAGCAGGCGCAGCTGGTATGCATGGGGCTGCGGGGGCTGGAGGTGAGTCTGCGTTACGGCAGCTCAGCGGGCTGGGGATGACATCACCCACCGGGCTGCATTTGCTGACGCATACCGCTGCTGCAGGGCTGGCGGCGCTTAGCAGCGGCGGCGGTGCCCTGGCGTCCGGGAGCCATGGGGGAACAGGCGGTGGAGGCGGATGGGGGGCTGGAGGGGGCGGAGGTAGTTGCAGCGGCGGAGGTGATGAGGGAGATGTAGGGATGTGCGACTACATGTTGGGGCAGCAATGCAGGTGAGTCATAGTTGCCGTTACTGGTTGCTGGGTACTGGTTGCTGTTCTGTAGCCGTGCGCTCGGGTCACGGGAAACAACTCACGGTCTTCCCTCCCCAATTTACAACACCTTTTCCAACACAGTATCCGGTGGCAAAAGCTACGAAGCGACGTTTCTGGTGTCAGCACCGATGGTGGGTTGCGTGCAGACTCTCCTCGAGGCGTCTTATGCGGTGGCGGTCCTGGCCCCTACCCACCCTGTGTCGCGCCCGGCCTGCCTCCCCAGTGTGGAGTTATCCCCTTCGGCATAAACCGCCCAGCGCAGCGCATCTTCCCGCAAAGCCCGGCTCTCGTCCCCATGGCTGACACGGATTCTGACGCGGAAACGGAGCCCGGTGGGACAACAGCCAGAGGCTTCCGCATTCGTGCCTGGTCCGCTGCCGGGACACGCCCGTCCCCTCTCGTTCGCGACTGCAAGGCTAACAGCAACGGTGCCGGCGGGACCCCGGCTGCTTCCCTGGCCTCCCAGGTGACTCAGCGTGTGCAGTCGCAGCTCTCCGGCGGCACCTCGGGTGCTATGGCTGGTGGCGGTGCAGGCGGAGGCATTTGTCTGTACGGCAGCCAGCCCAGCCGGCGCGGTTCGCTCTTTGGCAAGGTGTATGCGCTCAATGTGGGAGATCAGCCGCTGCTGAGGCTGCTGCTGCAGGTGCGGCCGGGTGGGCAGGTAGTCCGAAGGAGACAGGGGCTGTTGTGATCGGTTGCAATTTCACAAGAAGTACAAGAAGTGATGTGGCTCTTTAACTCTGGAATACGACAGAACGAATTGAATGCAGCTGGTGGCACTTCCGCTTCCCGCCTGGGTGGGGAGTAGGAGGGACTCTTGTCGTTACCCCATTGTGAGCTTAGCGTACTGTGGACCATCACGATCGTTCGTCGTAACTTGAATGGTAGGTGGTGGAACTCGTGTGTGACATCTTACCTAAACCACCCCCACCCGGCTCGACTCACGATTTTTTCATCAGGGCTTGTCAGCTAGTTTACCACTATCACACCCGACATTGGATTTTCTTTTTATTACCCCTACTCCTTGCCTCAGGCCCCGCTTGAGTTGGCACTGCAGCCAGGAGCCACCTTTGGCGGAGTGCTGGACTTCCGCCCGCCCCTGCTGCACGCGGCAGAAGTGGGGGCAGCCGCCTCGGCCTCGCAGGCCGCGGGACCCAGTGTGGGTGCGGTGCGGGTGCCGGTGACGTGTCATGACGTCGCTGTGCTGCTGGAAAGCGAGGAGGTGGTGGCACCAGAGTGCAGACAGCAGGTGGGGCTGCGGCTGCGGTGTTTGTTGGGGCGTAGGACACGATTGTGTATTGAACGCACGGTTATTCTTCTTTCTTCCCTGACTCTGTGAGGGCCGCTAACCCTCCCCTGTCTTGTGGCACCCTGCCGCCTCCCTTACCCTTTGCCTTGCCCACATTTGTGGTTAGGTATTTCTTTGACCCCTGACTCATTTCCCCACTGCAGTTCAAGCACGATGGCAGCAGGGCGCCTGGCGGGGCACCCCACACTATCCGCCGCCTACACGCGGAGCACTCCGAGCTCTGCTTCAACAGTGCGCTGGTCTCCTTCACCTTCTCGCTCCCCGCCTCTGCCACCCCATCCTTCCGCAGCCCAATGGTAGCACTGCGCTGGGTGCTACGGTTTGAGCTACTTGTGGGGCCACAGCTCAACTTTGCCGCCTTGGACAAACGCGCAGGGGCGCAGCGGCCCAACCTGGAGCAGCTGGTGTGGTCGCTGCCGCTGGTGGTGCGGCCGCCGGCAGCTGTGTAGCGGTGATAGCTGGCTCAGATATCAATAAACCCGTTCCCTGGTGTTAGCGCCTTCCCGTAGCTTGTTGCGGCCCGGCCGTGGGCGCTTGGTTGGTTGTTGAGCCTCTACGTTGCTATTACACTTGCCAGCTAACAATTATCAAGTGCATTAATGGCGTTAACCTGGGCGTTCCGATGGTGTTAAGAACGCTGGCCGCGAATAGGAACGTACTGGATGAACTGTGCTTGTAGAACAAGGAACGGTGGGCCCCTGGGTGTTTCCATTGGAGATCAGCGAAACCAAGCCTATGCCAACCTAAGTCGTACGCTACGCGCTCCTAAGCCTGCCTAAGCGCCCTGCTTCTACTAGTAAGGCCCGCCTTCGGCGGGAGCTACCCGTAGCTCGCGGGAGGGAGCTGGATGGACTAAGAGTAGGCATGGGAGGTGATGTCGAAACAAGATGTGGTTGCACGCATGTACGGCGTGAGGATGCAGAAGAATACTTGTATCACAGAAGGAGTGGCAGCGGTTGTCGCCAAGGCTGCTAGCAATTAAACGGTTAGGATGCACAAACGGCTTGAGGGCGCTGCGGCACGAAACATGCAGTATATCAATGCATACAGGTGGTTGAGAGCGAAACCCCGCCCTACCCGCCCGAATCCTGGTGCTCATACATGTGTATGCGCGCATGCCCCTGCCGAAATACTGGTACTGGCACCTGTGCGTTAGTATAGAGTACTGGCCCTACTACGGTACCACTGTACGAGTACACATCTTCCCGTCGTCACCAGTCGCCCACATACCGTATTGCCCAAAATTTTATTGACAAAAATAAAATGTTTTGGGTTCTGTCAAATGGGGCAAAAATGTTTTTTTGCCATGTCAAATGGGGCTGGAAATTCGCTGGCAAGGTGTCAAATGGGGGCAAAATATTCCGCCTGGGGTGACTCCAGGGGAACCAAGATGGGAACGGTGAGGTAGGGGGCAACTGACTTGCAAGTGCGCTGGGTCCCCACCGCGATATGCCCAGCCGAGGTACCCACTTATCCTCCTAGGGCTGCACAGCGGCATACAGCTGAACAGCTCCTTTCCTTACCAAGTTAAATCAAACACGTACGGCGGCTTTTGGGGTGTTTTGGCGCATGTCAAATGGGGCTAGAAATTCGCCATCAGGAAGTCAAATGGGGCATAAATAATCTCCGCTTGTCAAATGGGGCTGGAAAAAAGGCCTCCAAATGAATGTCAATTAAATTTTGGGCAATACGGTAGCAACTCAGCCCTTGAGCCGGTTGGTGTATAGCCTGGTTAAGCTGGCCACATCATGCTGAGCACGTCATGCTGTCGTGTGCTGCGAGTTCGCTTTCAACGCGAGTGCGACATTGATTGCGATGTTGCTGATGTCCAGACATATATTGCACGCATTCGAGTGGAAGGTGTGGGTTTTACCGGACATCGTGATCGGGAACGTGAGCAACATGAACATATTTTTCTTTGTATGTAATACAGTTTCCGAGTTCAGCTTTCTTGGTCATCAACATGCGAGTATGGCGAACCAGCTAGGTCTCCACCATAGTGTGTCAAACTATATGTGAGTAAACGTAATGTGTTGCACCATATTATATGCGACAATGGAGCGTTGACCGACACATCATGCCCAGCCACATACAACTTACTTCGTCCTATACTATGTGACATACCACACTTCGTGGTATCCCACATAGCGCGGAATACCAAAGAGACCGGCATTCAGAGTGCACGTGCAGCTTTGCGGACTGTTCATTGCAGGTGCGCTCTTGCTATAGCTTGGTCTATTATTGTTGCACTCTTCTCGAAGGCAGGGAGCTTGGCGAATGTCGGCAGTCAATGTTGGAACTGCCCTTTAGTTTCGCGCGTCTACATAAAGAGTATCGCTCTGCCTTGCATTGTAAACATGATAGAGAATAAAGAACCACAGGAAGCGCTGGAGGTGTATAGTATATGCTGTTGGAAGGGCATGGTGACCAAAACTGGAGGCTTTCCTCGAAAGGACTGCTTCAACCAACCTGCTTCAAAATTATATTTTTGGTGTAGCTAAAAATCTAGTTTGAGGACCCGTAGGGGCGAGTGCATGAGTTGTCGTACATTGAGCCTTGGTGGTCGGATGGCGTTTTGAGAGTTGCCTGCCTTGTTGTTTTATCTGCGTGGCTTTCTTCCGGGGAACTTCGTTGTTTTTGTGTCCAATCGCGGCTAGCCTCGTGTAGTCAACGCTAGTCAATTGGGGATAGCCCTCGCTATCTAGAGCTTGGGCTTGCTGCCTTACCGAGGTCTAGTTTCTTTTACAATGGCATACCAGTTTTTGAACCACTTGAGAACACTCGAAGATTGCGACCGGCAGCTTCAGTCCCCAGGGGCAGCACTACTCACAGCTGAGGAACAGGAACATCTGAAAACCTGTGAACGCTTAATTATTGAAGCCGAGGAAGCTGAGCAGGACGCTATCAGTTTGCTCAAGCCGGGCAAGACCAAAGCAACGAAAGAGGCGTATTCGCAGTCGGTTGCCCGCTATAAGAAAGCCACGGCAGAAGTAATTCGAGAGATTGAGCGCAGGCAGCCATTTTATCTGGAACTGCGGGCTCGGGAAGACACACGTCGCGCCATCTTCATGCGCAAGTCACAGCTCAGCCAGGCCTTCGCGGCTGGGGCGATCGTTACGACCCAGGAGGGACACGGTGCGCTGGCGCCGGTCCCACAAGTTGAGCCTCCGGCTGGTGGGGCAACGGGACAGGGACCAGCGGGGTTGGGACAACCGGCAGCAGCAGTTCAGCCGATAACAGCGGCAGCAGCAGCGAGGCAGGTTGCAACCGCAGCAGCAGCAGCAACCACGGTGCCCGTACAAGACGCACATGTGCTGGGTATTGAGGAACAGGTGGATACCGAGGGCTTCCCGGCCCTAGCTCAGACACTAGGCCCGTTGGCCCCCCCTGCCGTTAGACAGGCGGCGCCCCAAGGGGCCGCTCACGTCTTGACAGAGCGCCCGGAAAGGGGAGTGAGGAGGGCGGTGGAAGGTCCGCTGGAGGCGGCGGTGCTGCCGCCAAGCAAGGTCCCCCGGCGCCTGGCGGTCCAGGGCGCCGGCATCTTGGACTCCTGGCTGGACACGTTGGCGACGGGGCCGGGCGCGGGCATGACGGCAACGGGGGCTTAACGGTCGGCGCTGGGACCGTTCTAGAAGACCCTTACCTCCAGCATTGACATGGAGGACACCGCGGCCATGGCGCCATTCATGAGCGAGTTGCTAGCGGTAGCGGGTGTGCAGCGGCTGTCTACCAACCAAGACATCTTCAACAGTCATGCCAAGAGCGTCATCAGCGCTAGCGTGTCGCTGGGCGAGGCCGCGCTGCAGGAGGTGGCGAGGGCGCAGACTACGGACGAGCAAGCACGGAGCTTGATGGTTGCCACCGCAGCTTACAAGCGGGCGCAGGAGGCGCAGCAGGTCCAGTCCGAGGTCAGCAAGCTCACGCGCTACACTACCTTTCCCAAGGCCATGCGTTGGCTAAAGGAGGGAGACCCGGATAAGCTCAACCTACTGCGCGGCCTCTCCTCTTTCAGCAAGGAGGACTTGACCGACATCCTGTGCAGCGCGACGGGTCAGGGCACCTCCAGCAACCGAGCAGCGGCCAGGGAGGCGCCCCTCCCGCGTCCGAGCAGCGGGTCCGCAGGCAGCCACGGCGATGCACAATAGCGCTGTTTTGTCTGCGACGCGGCCACAGGTTCCGCCACTGCCCCACGCTGGTAGGCCTCCCGGAGGATGAGCGTGACAGGAAGCTAGCGGCGGCGCGCAGGCGCATGCCGCGGAGGAACTAGGAACTTCATGCGCCCGCCAGGGACATGGCGGGTGCCCCAGGCGCCGCCGCCGCGGGGGCCGGTGGCGCGGGGTGGCTGGCGGGCGCATCGGGCGGTATGGGCGACACTCATGCAGGTAGGCCACCCCAGGGCGGTGTGGGAGACACCACGAGGGCGGGCCGTACGTTAGACCTCCCCAAGGTGAAATGGTACAACCCTATCCCAGGGCGAAGTGGGATACTTTTGCGCCTCCCCATAGCGATATGGGACAACCCATCCCAGGGTGAAGTGGGATCCTTTAGTGCCTGCCCAAGGCTAAATGGGAAACCCCAATCCCAGGGCGAAGTGGGATACTTAGGCGCCTCCCCATAGCGATATGGGACAACCCAATCCCAGGGTGAAGTGGGACCTTTAGTGCCTACCCAAGGCTAAATGGGAAAACCCTATCTCAGGGCGAAGTGAGATACGTTTGTGCCTTCCCAAGGCGATATGGGACAACCCAATCCCAGGGCGAAATGGGATACCTGTGTACCACCCAAGGCGATAACAACCCAATTCCAGGGCGGAGTGGGTATCTTATGGGCCTCCTCCCCTTCCTCCGGCCCATCTCCCTATCGCTCGTGCAGTGAACAGCAGCAAGCTGTTGGGACACGTGGTGGAGACGGAGGGCCGGTGGTCAGAGGCGCTGGTAGGGCCCCTGGAGGCTTTGATGCAGCGGCGCTGGCCCTGAGACAGGGCGCCATGGTGGCGGAACATGGCCAGCCGGTGGCGACATCCCCAGCAGTGCCCGCCACGGCGCAGCCAGGGGAGGCACGGCCTAGATGCCCGTCCACACATCAGGCGGGCGCGGCGGCTCGAGGGCGGCCCCCAATGGCAGATCCAGTCGGCAGGCCATCGGTAGCACATGGGAGCAGCAGCACCGTGGCGCCTGCAGCGCCGCAGGGAGGTGCAGTGGCAGGGGCGAGCAGCAGGACGGTAACTACACCACCACCACGCTAGGTGCAGCTAACGCCTGAGGCCATAGAGGACTTGGAGTTCTGGTGGGGGGTCCTTCGGTCGGATTCGCCAGTGTGGGACGGCGTCAAGCAGTGCGCTGTAGCGGACCTCGACCTGGTGAGGGGGGAGTTTGGGGGCCCCAGTGGTGCAGTCATCTTCACCGACGCCAGCGGCTGCGGCGCTGGCGCGGCCTGGGGCCCCGCGGAGCGGCAGGGGCCGTGGTCAGCGGCGGAGAAGCAGCTACACATTGCTTGGCTGGAGCTGAAGGCGGTGCTGATCCGCTGCGACAATACTCAGGCCGTGGCTGCGATCAGGCACGGCTCCACCCGCGTGCCGGAGGGCCGCAGCGTCAGCCGGCTTATGGTGGAGCTTGCGATCCGGCATGGGTTTGAGCTCCGGGCGGAGCATATCTCGGGCGTCGAGAATGTGCGCGCAGATCGCCTCGGCCGGCAGCTCAGCACCGCATGGCGCACCGCCGCTGCTTAGGGCTGGCAGCCGGCGACTACCCGGGTGGGTGGTACCTTTGCGCCGGCTGCGTGTTGGCGGCGGCAGGCATTGGGGCGGAGGCTGCCGAGGGCTACGTGAGCGGACTCGCCAAACGATGGGTAGTGCAGGCAGGCAGCGCGGTGGCGGCCCGGTCTGCGGCCACCTATGAGGCGGGGCGCCAGCGGTTCCTGAGGTTCTGCGTCGTTGTTCTGCGCCTGAGCGAGCAGGATGCTTCCCCTCGGGCCCGGGGCCAGGACCTCAACCGCTTCCTGGTCTGCCTCTTCATCACCCACGTGGTAGAGGCCATTAAGGAGCACGGGCGGTGGGAGTCTCGGGCCGTAGATGTGTACACTTGCAAGTCAGTGGCGGTCAGGCGGGCGGTGGTAGAGCAGATGTGATAAGGGATAGGGAAAGGGGGGTTGTCTCTGCGTGGGCCTTGGATAGGAGCAGGCCACGCAGATTGGGTCCGTTGCCGTGCCAGCAGTAATGCGTGTTAGCAGGTTAGCTGAGTGCGTAAGAGGGCACGGGTAGCGCGTCAGGGGCCCAGTTGTTTCATTCCCCCTTCTTCAGTTGGCTTCTCCCGGCATGACTGGTTATTTGGTTGGAGAGAGAGTTTAGGTGTTATCGTGTTATGGTATAGGGTGGCTATGTCACGAGCCACTAATCCACATTCAATTTCCATAACCAAAAGCTTGACTCGGTAGCGAAACCACTGCCATAGTGAACCAGGGGCCCATGGGACGGTGAAAGACGTTACCGAACCGTAGAAGCCGTAAGAACGAACAACCTAGGTTTGTTTGGACCAAAGGGAGCTCACAAACCTTGTAGTATTGAATTGCCGAGCGTGATGGTCAGTATGTTGACGCATGCATGCGTGGTTTGGGAAGGACGTGCCATGAATTGAGGTCTGGGCGAACCCAAGGTTTTGGGGTCCTACCCGGCCGTATGAGCAGCTCCCGACCCCCCGTCACACCTACAGACTCCTTAGACATGTAGTATCTTGTGGCCAAGCGTGGGGCTCGTTTAGTTGCCGCATGCACTTGTGGTTAGGATGAATGTGCTGCTCAGACCGAGTGCATGGTGGGGGACCTAGTCAAACCCAAGGTTTCGGGGTCCTATCCGACCATGCGAGCAGCATCTGACCCCGCCGTCACACCTACAGACTCCTTAGACATGTAGTATCATGTGGCCATTCACGCACCCTCACTCAAAAGTACCTCCTTCATATATGAATGGACCCTTAGCACCTAGCCAACTCCTTTGGTCAGTCCTCAGCAGGCATCAATAGGGTAGATCCACCCATCCCACGGGTAGAGCGTGTGCGTGCAGTCGTCATACGGCGCCACGTGGCTCTGACAGCTATTGCCAGGTCCTCTAGTTGACAACATCAATCCCTATATCAGTAGCGAAAATTTCTATGTTAGGGGGTTGTGTGCTTGTCGCCCTTACTCGCCACATCCCGACCACGATGTCCAGTAAAATCCACACCTTCCACTGGAATGCGTGCAATATATGTCTGGACATCAGCAACATCGCAATCAATGTCGCACTCGCCTTGTAAGCGTACCCGCAGCACACGACAGCTTGACTTGCTCAGCATAATGTGTTGGCCAGCTTAACCAGGCGGCTACACCACAACTGGCTCAAGGGCTAAGTTGGCTCCTTTATGCAAGCGTACGACTCCTTCCCGGGATGCCCCATGCATCGACTGTGCTACTCTAAGCCCACGCAATCCTTTGTGACGATGTTGCCGGCCTTTGCTATTCGTTTGCGCGCCATAATGCCTATGAACTGTAACGCAAACGGGTAGGCGCCTAGAAGCTAACAGCGATGTTACGGTGGTGCAATTGCCAAAGTCCTTAAGAGCACGATGCCGACAATGCCGAGCCTGTCCTCCGGCATCCTGCTAGTAATGTAGGTGAAACCTAAACTTAGCCCTTGGCCCGTTATATGTTTCTTAGGCAACTTGAGGTGTATTGTTCAACTGTATTGTACAGCAACGACATGGGCTCTTGCAGCAAATCATGGTTTGGTGTAAAGCAAACGTAACAGCACATAGTACGTGGCTGTCAATGGTGACGATAGGAAAAAGAGGGGCGCTTGCGCATGCCTTGTCAGCTTGCTAGCCGGGGGGGAAGGGTACCGTTTCGGGGGCAAGGGGGGCCTCGTGGCTTGCACGGCCGCTCGAGCACAGCGCAGGTGGTGGTGGGGGGAGGGGAATAAATGATAAGTGCAGCAACTTAGCCCTTGGCCCGTTATCCTTTTCTTAGGCAAGTTATGGTGTATTGTTCAGCTGTATTGTACAGCAACGACACGGGCTCTTGCAGCAAATCGTGGTTTGGTGTAAAGCAAATGTAAGGGCACCTAGTATATGGCAGTCGATGGTGACGATAGCTGTATGAGGGGGCTTCACCATTGGGTTCGTCATGATGGCTGTGGTTAGGGAAGGGACCTTACTTTTCACCCTCCCCGTGCTTCTAGTACACCCGACAACGCGTCACGTAATTGTGCTGCCACTTACGGTTAGGGGAGCGGCTGGCCTGCACGGCCTCTCACGCACAGCGCGGATTGGGCGGGGGGGAGGGAGGTGGATGACTAAAGATGATGAGGCGCCTCCTGGTCTGGTCACATGATCGCCATTCATCATACTTCTAGCTCAATATTCGTTGGTGGGCTATGTGTTTCCGCATTGCATTCATTCCAGTGGTAACAATACGTTCCTGTACTGATGAGGAGGGGCTCCGCTCTTTTCCAGCGTTGAGGAAGCTGAACCCCCTTGTTATGGGAAAGGGTTTGCGAGAGGGCAGGTGGGTAGCGGATGGGGAATAAACAACATACCAACCCATAGGAAATTTCAGTAAGGGCAAAGCAAAGGGGATGGGAGGCGGTAGAGTGTCACAAACACAAAACGTTAAAAAAAGGACAGCCGCAGCAGGCTACAGTTCATCGACCGTTACTATGTGCCGCACACCTAGCACTGCCTTCTCTTGCTTTAGCCCAGTATGGATTGCTAAGAAATGAACAGGTACCGTTTAGGGATCTGGTAAGCAGATGTTGGGAAAGAGGTCAGGGGCCTGAGGCTACAGTTGGTTGTATAACCGCTTTGCACTTGTGGCATCGCCTATTTTCCTACGTACAATTAGATTATGTTCTTCACCGCCGTTTTCTTCATGTGTTTTTTGCCGCTGCGGCCCGTTCACAACACAGCGGCGTCTCCCACAATTGCGGTCCCTCCGTATTCCTCCGTCCAATCTGCAGTTAGTACGGTCTCTCCGTCTTCCTGCATCCTTCCGCGCTGCGGTTTCGCCCTTAACATCGATGATCAGCTTCCGTGCCTATTGCACCCGCACATTCCATGCCATGCCATGCCATGTTAAAAGTTTACGAGCTCTGACGTACACTAACGCGAGCTAGCGTGGTCCCTCCGTCTTCCAGCGTCCTTCGGCGCAGCGATTTTGTGCTTACCACAGGTGATCACGTTCCGTACCTAATGCACCCGCATTTTCATTGCCAGGCGCTCGGGCCGCGTCAAATGCTTATGAGCTCTGCCGTACAATGACGCTATTCCTCCTAGCTTCCTAACGAGTCCCAATCCCATTTCCCGACTCATGCGGTGAGCGCATTCGGAGACTCTATGGGGGGGGTGTTATATGGAAAAATCTCAAGAGCTGTATGACGTGGCTTCACGGGTTGGTAGGGGGGAAGGGGGAGGGGGGTGGGGGACACTTTATGGCTAGGGTTTTTTTTGAGCCGGAAGATGGTGAGTGAGGGGTTAAGTTGGGGGGAGGGAGGGGGCCCGTGCGCCCCCTCAGCCTGAGGCTACAGTTAGGTCGTTTTCGCACTGCCACCTACGCTTGGGTCGCCTTGTCAGCTATACTAGCTCACCGGCTAGCGGGGGGATTTGCACTACTAGAAAGGGTACCGGTTTGGGGGCATGGGGTTCGTCATCATGGCTGTGGTATAGGAAGCCATGCAAGTAAAGGCTAGCTGGGGAATATGCACTCCTAAGAAGGGTACTGGTTTAGGGTGAGGGGGCCCTTGTGGCTTGCACGGGCTCGAGCACAGCGCAGGTGGTACAACGAGGAATCTCACGAGCTGTTTGATGGGGCTTTACCATTGGGTTCCTAGGGGGCCGGGGGAAAAAAATATGTATATGATGAGACACTGACGAAGCAACTGACGAGCTGTATGACAAGGCTTCACCATGGGGTGCAAACATGGTAGCCGGTCCATCCCACCTGACCCGAAATAATTTAACCGAAAGAACAGAATGCACTTACCAAAAAGTAGTACTTACCAGGAGTCGGTGGAACATGGAAGGAGGCTGGGAAGGTGTGGACGATGAATCGAGGGTCGGCGGCCGCGCCGACGGTCCATAATTAGAGCAAGGTATTAGCCGGGAACTTGGGCGCATTGCACGCAATGGAAATTACGCTGAAAATGGGCTGGTTGCGCGCAACGGTCCCGCGCGACACGCCCATGTTCCTGGCTTAACAAATCTGCCTCATTTTAATCTGCAGTATGTATTTATGTGCATAGCGCAATACTCTCTATGTGAAGCGTTCACCGGCGTCGCGAAAGGTGCAAGAAACGTTGTCGACCATGTATGGGCTGGTTGCGCACAACGGTCCCGCGGGACACGCCCAAGTTCCTGGCCCGACAATTTCGTCTTGGTTTTAACCGTGCGAGCGGCACCTGAGCCCGCCGTCACACCTACAGACTCCTTAGACATATAGTATCATGTGGCCAAGCGTGGGGCTCGATTGGTTGCGCCGTGTGAGTGTGGTTGGGCAGGATGTGCCGTTCAGACCGGGTGCAGGGTTGGGGGCCTAGTCAAACCCAGGGTTTGGGGCACGTATCCGACCGTGCGAGCGGCACCTGAGCCCACCGTCGCACCTATAGACTCCTTAGACATATAGTATCATGTGGCCAAGCGTGGGGCCCGATTGGTTGCGCCGTGCGAGTGTGGTTGGGCAGGATGTGCCGTTCAGACCGGGTGCAGGGTTGCTTGGGGGCCTAGTCAAACCCAGGGTTTGGGGCACGTATCCGACCGTGCGAGCGGCACCTGAGCCCGCCGTCACACCTACAGACTCCTTAGACATAT